TACCTACAATTCAGGGAGTTTTCTTGAAAGGGGATATTCAGACTTTAAATGTTTGTCTAATGTAAAAATATAGTTACATTGCAAAGAGTTGAACACTTTATGTGAAGGTAATACATCGCATGGTATAGTCCTCTGCCATGACTTTGAGGCAGAAAGTTACATCAGCCACTGTCAAAGAAAGGTGTCAGAAGAAATCTGAGGTAATATCTGATGGTCACACCGTAAATCTGCCTATAAAACATGCTCTGTCATGCTCTCTAAGCAGCATCAGTGTGATGTTAGAAACACTCAGACTACTGTTCACACTTTCTGTTAAAACTAAGCAGATAAGTGCGGATAAATACTTGAGGAATTTGTGCTTATCCCTCAACCTAACTTAGAGACAGAGTTGTTGCACAGGCAAAAGCTTTTTCAATGAGTTTTTCTATTAACTATCTGTTTACGTGACCCAGATATTGCTTTATATTTGCACTGTGTGTTACCAACTCCCTTTCAAGAGGGTTATGAGATGCTGGACACATGCCTGATCAGCTTTTGAATGTAATACTGGTTGGTCACAGGCCAGTGTAAGTCATACTTATGCCGCAGTTCCACTACACGGTCGGCCTCGGCCACGCTCGGTACGGCTTGGCCGCGTTGGGCCGACTCACTTCATGCTGCGCTTCCATTACAGTTTAGGAACTGGGGTAGTTACTATAGTAACGCAGTGTAGGCGGAGCCGTGACGTCATCTTCAATGAGAACTCCAGAAAACACAATACAGCCGTTAGCTGTTAGCACTCAGAGCTCACAGCTCCTTATATATGTTCAGAAACTCGACAAAAGTTAAACAAGTACACACCACAGACTGCCTGTGTCATGGTGAATACAGTCGCTGCTTTATTTATGTCTGTATAGGCCGTTGTTGTGAGTGTGGACGGTCGGAGCATATACTGCGTTAGCTTAGCCAATCTCCATCTAGAAAAACACGAATTTTAAAAGGTTTTTCGCCTGACGTCTGTCTGCAGACTTGACAAAGCATTAATTCATGGTTTTTACTAACCGGTATCAGTATGTTGTTACTTCGGCATCATTTTGAAACGTGTATTACAATTAAATCACGGTCAAATATGTCCATCTTGTTCTAGTTGTAGCCCTCTTGCCAGCGCTCCTCTCTCTAGTTTAGCATACTCGGCCCGACTCAGCCCTGTTTGTTGGCCCCGATAGAACCACAATTTTGTCGGGCCAGAAAAGAGGTAAAAAAGTGGCCCCGGGCCGGGCCGGGCCGTAACTAGGCCTAGTGGAAGCGCAACCAAAAACGGGTACGGCACGACACGGCACGCTTAAAGCGAGCTCCGCGCTGTAGTGGAACTGCGCCATTATAGTACTAGTTGAGTAATCATATATTTACCTAGTTACCCTAGTTTACCCTAGTTGTGGCTGGAGGTCAGGGGTCGGCTAATGCCCCAGGGTTACTGTTCATAAAACACAGGAAGACATTTATGCCTTAGACTTGATCCACCATTAGAAAACAGGATCCTGATCCTGATTCTGTTTTGAGTCCGATTGAGAAAGTCTTAGCTTTGATGATGGTGATCATTGATTTGAGTCTGGATGTTGGTGAGACGTGATATCGCCAGCCATAATTAGAATTTAGCAATTGTAACTTCTTATCATAAAGAAGTTAAGCTACACAAAGCAAACATTTCAGTGTTTAAATGGTTCACAGCTCGTGAACTGTCAACAGGGGGGCGGAGGGAGCCTCTCTGCGGGGAAGCAGTGTGTGGACCTATTTCACCTGTCAGCGCAACTTACATGATGCGGTTTAAACAAATTTAAATAATTGGTTTAAACGGCATAATAATAATTAATGACGACCGTCGGTTCTGTGATTCTCCAGAACACACAGATGGCCAGTCCGCCCCTGTGTAGCATATTATTTTCGATGAGAGATGAGCAGATCGCCACTGGGCTTTCAACTAAAGACATAGCCACTCAAAAACTGCGGCATTTGTACAGCTCCTTATAGGTACTGCAATTTGTGAAGTGCCGGCGCGCTCCGGCAGCACTTCGCCCCTGATTGTTTCACCACGGAGGAAAGCAGCTGCAAGTCGACTGGAGTTAAAGAGAGCAGGACTGCGTTGCGTGCATGGCTTCCTTCTGCAGGTAACAGGGAGAGGCGCTCTGGCGGCGGTCTCGTTCAGGATCCGAAAATACAATTTTAATATTTTGCACACTTATTCCACTTATTCCTAGTGTGCCACTGGTTACGGTGCAGAGGTCAAGTAAGGTAAATGACATGCGTCACATTTTGGCAAAAGTCTGATAAATTGCCTCACGGGAGATAACTCATCGTAGAAATGTAGAAAGTGTGTTTACCAGACGTTGTGTAACCCACTCCTCATCTGACATAATTTGACCTGCTGGGCTTCTGTATATGTTGTTGCTTACGTATGGGCATATATTTACAATATAGTGGTATAGCGCTGAAAACTGTAGCTAAACTTAACAATAGACGGCAGATATAAATGAAGTCGCTGCTATACTGCTTTTATGCCGGGAGGTAACATGTTGTAAGCATTTCATATTCTTGTTGTACTCAAAAGTCATTAGACTCGGTTTTATCAAGCTTGAGTAAAAGCAAATATACAGCCAATATTTAGAAAAGGGAATAAAATGCATCTAATAAAAACCCAGATTAATGAGCAGAAATTATTCAACCTAAACTTAGTTTAGTGCAGCTCTGTGCGAACGGTAAAAACCTTTTGTTTCAGTCCAGGACCAGGACACAGTTTTGTGACTTGTTACGTTGTTCCTTAACTCTGTGTGCATGGAGAACATTAAGAGCCTTATTTCCCTGTGCTTCTGTACAGTTAAGTGTTTCTTTCAGCCTAACAGAGCTCTCAGTGTGGTTGTACAGTCATGCTCTCTGCAGATGAGAGTAGGCCTCCCTCACTGGCCCCAGGATTTCACTGGACCTTTAACTCTTAAACCACAGAACATTTCTGACTACAGTCCTCATGTGTTGAGTTAACAATACGCTGGTTTTACTTCCTTTAGAGAAGTACTTGTCAAAGCCAATCAAGACATTCAGGTTCTCTGTCAGTATCTCCTGTCCAGGCCTTTTGTTATTGATAAACCTTCTTCTCTCAGGAATGGGGAGAATTGTTATAACCCAATGATGAAGAAACTCTGACACGTGAACACACTGCAGCAAACGTCTGCTCCACATATAAAGATAGATAGATAGATCGTACTTTATTGATCCCAAATTGGGAAATTGTTTTTGTTACAGCAGCATAAAAGGCATTTTACAATAAAACAAAACTACAAAATATACAAGAATAGAAATAAAATATAAAATATACATGTCGAAATAGAAAATATACATACAGATATTATATATATATATACAAATATATATATATATATTCAAAATATATGGAATATGGAGTATTAAATATGAAACAGATTATGTATGAGTAAAATGTACAATGTGGTTTTATTTCTAGAGAAACTATGGAGCAGAGAGTTCTCTTCCAGCCAGAGGTGATTTGTTGTACAGTGTTATTGCAGTGGGCAGGAATGTTTTCCAGTATCTAAAGAAAGTTCTGTGTCTTGTGCAAACACAAAAATAGTCGCAGGAACAATTTGAACTCTGCATATCACACGGCTCATACGTAACATTTAATTAGTGTAAGCTTACATTGTTCCCTCTAGATCTAAACTATTCTGTGTATCATGAAAACCTGCCACAGTTATCTCTATTTCAATGAATATAATGATGCATTCCCAGATACATTTTTAAGCATTACTTTGAATTATTACTTGGTTTTAGTTCCCCAGATGTCACAGTGCATTATTGTCTGTGTCTGACATGATGGTAAACTGAATAGTTTTAACTTTTGTATTATTATTCAGGAAGAAAAAGACATAAGAAGATTCTACAGACCGAGAGAAAGGGTTTCCATTAGGGTTTTATTGACAACGATGGATCAAGCAATGGAGAAAATAAAACTACTCTCAGTTAAATTCTCATTTATTCTGAAGGTTTTTCTGTTTCAACACAAATTGAAATTATTTAAAGAAGTATATCTAAGTTCAGTGTTTCATATTTATTAGTCAATACACTGGTTTATTGTTCAGTCCCATAGGTTCCTGTTTTGCTACACAGATGTTATCCTGGGCTCCTGAATACATATACACATGTTTGTAATGAAACCGTGGTTCTGCTCTCGCCTCTGTGTTGTTAGTGATAGTTAGTAGTCCGCCAAAGGCCTTCATTTTTCTCTCTCTCTCTCTCTCTCTCTCTCTCTCTCTGTCTCTGTCTCTGTCTCTGTCTCTGTCTCTGTCTCTGTGTCTGTCTCTGTGTCTGTCTCTCTCTCTCTCCATCCACTTCCCTTGACATGATCGTCCTTAAGGAGCTTACTGAGATTTTCTCTCGCTGTGAGCCGCTTTCATTCCCTCGTAGTCGGACTGTGGTGAAATTGCAGCCAAAAACAGCTAGAGGCAAGATCTCTGACTTCAGGCCACAAGACAGATCGGCACGATAAAGTGAGCCTAGCTCGTCTTCTGGTATGTCTTTATGAAGAGTCGTGTCCAGGTACGACCAGATCTGATCAATCTTTTTTTCAGCTTTAATGAGTTGGGTACTTAAATGTACTGTATTGTTCAAGTTGTTCATTGTCTGTGTGTTTTCTTCCAACTGTTTGCACCTTGCATTAGTTGTTGTATTAAGGTTTTGTATTTGGCCAGAGAAGATTAGCAAATGCTACGTCGCCAACAGGGATCTAGTTAATTAAAACAGTAAGAAATGTAAAAGCAGGTACAAGAGTTGGCAATGCAAAAAATATCTGGGTAAACACCCAAAGAAAGGCTATTGATTTCTTTTGACGTGTGACAAGAAAACTAGTATCTTTTGTTCTTTTCCTGCTTTCCTCTCCAATCATTTCTGTTGCCAGATGCTCATGTGTTCCTGTATGCAGAGCCGGTTGTAATGTGACCATTGTTGTGTTTTCACAGAGTCTACTGGGCCGGCCAAGGTGGTGAGAGCAGGGAATCCACCCAAAGCCAGACGCGGAGGAAAGGTAATCTTCTGTGTGTGTACTGTGGATGCATGTATGTACTGGTGGATATAAACGGTTTTAGACATTCTACTCTAAACATTCAGTAATGCTTCATTGAGTGTTAGAAACTCCCAGGTTAATCTTTTGCGTTTCATCAAGACGGCTATAGGATTACAGAGTGGGTCTTGTGAGAATTAAAAGACTGTATGTTAATATAACACCATATCTGTTCAAAGTATATATGTTATAAAGACACAATACAACCTCTAACGGAACATTTTCATTAGCTTAGAGCTTTATCACAGCTCACTGAAGGTATGTTCAGACCGAGTCATGGTATTTATCTGTCAGGCCTCAAGCTGTGTATTAACGCCCCTCCCCACTTCCTGGAATGCAAATGGCCCGGCAGATGAAGCAAACAAAGTCTCCACAAAGTGTTTCATTCACAACTTCCTACCTTGATTGCAAGACTCGCTGCTGTTGTATTTCAGGGTATTAAACTCCGCCTTCACCACACAGTTTTATGACACACTTGAAAAAGGTGCAGTGTTACAGAAACAAAAGAGAAATATGCGGTAAAGATGAATTTTGACCCTGTATATCCGCTCTGAAGGTCTTGGACAGAGTCACCTCTCTTCATTAACCTGAGCTAACATCTCAGGTTACCTGTGACACGCCTGCTAATACAGCTTTGTTTGTGTCTTTGTTCATCAGGTTGGAGACTTTGGCGACGCCACCAACTGGCCGACTCCAGGGGAGATTGCAACTAAAGACATGCAGGTGGGTGTTTTTGTTTGTTTGAGAAGTGTTGACTCACAGGTTGGTAGATGTGCATTGTAGAGGAAACACTGATGACATGAGGGTGGTGTCTGTTAGGGACTTAAACACCACGCAACTATTTCAATATTTGCTGATTGACGGCTAACGATCTCCTAAGCTCATTTTAGATTCTCATTTGTACTTGCTTGATTTTTTTCTGTTATACACTTTTGTTTGAGCAGTGTTAAAGAAGCCTAAAGTCCAATCATTATTTTGTGTTATCCTCTGATTGTTGTGCATCTATCAACTTTGAGCCAGCCTGGCCAGGACATGTGATGGGGAGTTGAAAAAAAAAAAATGTCTCTGCCTTTAAAGTGAATGGACAATAGGCATCAATATCTCATGTCTGCAGGACACACTTGAGATAGGTGATCATAACAAAATCAAATATCATGATACTATTGATTTCCAGCAAGGTGATAGTGTTGTATATGAATTGATGCTTTCATACAGAATTCAGTTTAAACTAGTGTTGTGGAGTACTGTCGGGGAAAAACTCCTTAAAGATCTTGTCCAACATAAGCGACAACACAGTGAGGTGTTTAGAAAAAGGAAATCTTAGTGGTTTCTAGTCCCAAATTATAATCTTTAGCAACCTTTCAGGGGGGGCTGATGCACTTTGCTGTAGTGGATATGTGTCTTTTTGACTATGGGTATTAGTGGTTGTGGCTGTAATCACACAGCAGCTAAACGGCACATCCAGACAGAGCAGCCTGCTCCTGCTGGCCCGACTCTGTGTCCTCAGTGCTGCATGTTTATTTTTTTAAGGGTTAGTCACCACCGTGGCAGGGAAACAAATATGTCTGACCTTTAAGCGGGAACCTGCAAAATCAATCCCATTGCAAAAAGACAATCAGTAGTTTGGAAGAGAAGTTGAGAAATTAAGTAAAATCTCAGCCTGAGGGATTATTATGAGCGAATCCTTGCTGATAAAAGAATATAATTGAAATGAATCTTGCATGCTGTCTCACTTACTGTTGATATACTTATTCAGTTACCTTTTAGATTTAACTACAATACCATCAGGTCTATTCCATATATACATAGATACTGGGTACAGATATTAGTCTGATTGTTGAATGAAATAAACGCAAACAATTATAATTCAGGAAATAATGTATAGAAGAAATCTATTGTTTATTTGAAAACATTAAATATGCCAACTATTCATTTTCTCCGCTTCTCAATTGTGAGGGTTTGTGGCTTTTTATCCAATAATTAACTCGACAACCTTAGGGGTTTGTTGTTCATCGGACCAAACATTTAAAAATGTCCCTTAGGCCTGTGATGTGGCATCTTTTCAATTTTCTAACATTCAAATAAATAAAGAAAAGGATTCAACAGAATAATCTTTAATGAAACAATTATTGCAAACTGTTTTCTCCTCATTGCACATGGCCGGCTGTCTAATAGACCCTTGGTTGATGTAAGAAAAACTTGAAAAGCTTAAAGCCTTAAACACCTGCCGATATAAGCTCTACTACTGTGTACACCCTCAACACACGTCCAACATACTGACCCCCTTCCCTTTATCCCTATTCTCTCTGTGAGGATGCGTTTAATTTGTGTCGCCTTACAGTAGCAGCAGTAGTCAGTCACTCCTCAGAGCCCCTTTCTATTTCTGATCTCTGGGCTATAGTGTGTCAGCGGGAGATTGACCCCGGTAACCTCCCCTATTTTAGGCAGCTAGTTCTGGACATGAGGGAGAGCTGCTTGTCTCCTTACTGTAAAATGTGGGTCACATAGTTAGAGCCAGAAATAACCGGTGGCTTTGGTGGCAGAAATCATAGGTGGGGAGGGGTTCAGATACGGTGACCGAGGCCTGGGAAGGGATGCCCTTTTTAGGGATCCCCCTTCAATAAACCAGACCTGGATCAGTGGTGGTGGTGCTGCTGCTATTCTTAGGGGCTGGAGTTCACTGTCCACCACGTAACACTTAGAGGTGTCAATCAGCTGCTGAATTCCTCACATTATTCACACTGGGAAATGAACTTTGGTAAGGAGGGGTTTTCGATTAGGTTGTACTTAAGAGTTTTAAAGTTAGACTTGAGATTTCATGCAATACATTGATTCTGTTAAACAATTTTCGGCTTGTGGCTGTTCTGCTTTACATGGGTTTGGGTAAGTTAAAAATGGGGTTGGAACATTTGATTAAACAGATATTTCAAGCTTGAGAAAAGTTGGTCGACGACAAAGCGATTAAATCTGACATATTGTTGTAAGATGAATCGAATTATGAAATGTTTTAGTTGCAACAACACTAACCACCTTTTATCAATTATAATGAGACCGATCAAAAGACATACTTTTCTCAAAGATTTTAATTTACCTAATACTTTTATAGATAGATTTTTCCTCATTGGAATAATTTATTTAGTTTTTTTTCCACAGACTTTAAATGCTGCATTGATGTCGGTTGCATACTAGTAACATATAGAAATATGTGATGTTATATTTTCCGGTGCTTCATATGCTCGGATAACGTTTTTTCACTAAAGAAACGTTATGTATTTTGCAACAGTCGACTGTTCGTTAAGCCCCACCCAATCACTTAATAACTGTTGCTATGCAGATTTACCACACACAAGTCATTGTACCTATTGAAACAATCTGTCTTTGAGAAAAAGAAAAGAAATATCTGAAATGACAACTGTGAACATTAACTTCTTTTAGTTAATTTTATTTAAAAAAATCAGGTTTGATTGTTTTATTTTAAATGATTAAAACCAGCTTTGGTTGCCAAGAGAGTTATCCTGCAGACGTGCTGTAGAGATGATGAGCACTCATGTCTCTTCTCTGACAAAAAAACAATGAAGAGAATTTTTCACAACTCTGATCTCAGCATCCAAGCAAATAAACAAACAAAACTAAAAGTCACAAACACTGACCCTGGGCAACGTAGTCTGACTTGTTGTAAAGGTCTTAATAAGGCCTGTTGTAGGCCAGTACAGACATGATATATTGTGTTATTACTGTTATTTAGCTGTAAAGCCTCCTAGGCTATCAAGTATATCTCATCAGAGCTCCATGCTAAGCTCAATACTAACCACCTTAGAGGTTAAATTAAAAGAACACATTCAGTGCAAAATACAAGTAACAGACAAATCAAATGGGCTACTTCCAACATTTTTAATAAGAAGTCTTTGCAAAAATCTGAGTTCAGTGCACAGGGTGTGGATTTTATTTGTTTGTTGTGATGTTTTCGACCCATTTTGTTGTCTGTTTCGTGTCCAGAGTAAAATGATTGTCACTATAGTTTGTGTTTCTTTTTACGGTTGGTGTTTCTGCGGATGTGCTTAGGAGACTGTAACAGAAGTTTCATCAGTGGCTTCCTGTGGCAGAAGGAGAATGAATCAGCATCCCTCTGATCTTAGCAGTGCCATCAACATTTCCTCAACCATTACACCGCATTTCTTTATTGAGTCATGAAAAACCCTCACACCTAAGCTATAAACACTCTTCTAATCTAATGGCTCATTTCTGTCACTTCACACACCTCTGTCCTCACTAAAAGTAAACTTCTATTATTCCTGTCTGTCCAAAGTCTAAAGCAATAAACCACAGTAATGTTTCCTCATCTTACATGTAAGGACACATTAGCCATTTAGCCACTGAGATGATATGGGATGTACTTTATAAAACCCTGAGGGAGCTTAGTGGACTTGGAAGCAGCAGAGCTTTTGTAGCATCCATTTGGCTTTTATATTGTTTGATGGCAACAGGAAGGAGTGTATGGTCCTTGGGTTGTTGAAGAGCAGCACTACAAATGCAAGCTTTTGAAGAGGCAATAGTAATGTTTTTTTTACTCCAGCCATTATACAAAATTAAAAGATTCTAATTGCAGAGGCTTGAAAGGATTTGTAACACTTGCTAAAGTGCCTGAACAGTCCCTAAATATTGAAGGTTTATGTCACGTCCATTTCTAACTACTAACAGAAGAGCTTTTTCTTTAAATCAATGTTAATACATTTTCTTCATACAGTGTAAATGTGTGTGTGTGTGTGTGTGTGTGTTCATCATGGTCCACCTCATTGTCTCTAAACTGCTCTTCCCTCCCTCTGTTCAGATCGAGGCAGTGACACGGACGGTGTCCTGCCCGCCGACTGTCAAGCAGGTCAGAGACTCATGGAGATCCACTGTAAGTTCCACCTGCAGCCTGTGAAACCTGCTGCTAAAAAAAACTTTAAATGATCCACCACACAAAGAAAGAAACATAAAACAATGTCGTAGTTAGTTAAAACCGGCTTAAAGTAAAATTGATTACAAAAAGTCAGGAGAATGAATGAATTAGCCTAGCTTGCTAACGTTAACACTGCAATGTCCACCCTGCACACTCAATGCTTTGGTCATCCCACGTTATTCAAAGGAGGGTTTTATTAGTTTATTTGACCTAATAAGTCCCCAGTCTCCATGTCAAAAAGGCTTATTTCTAGGGGCCATGTGCATCACACCATCAAAAATCCATACGAAAAACGAATTTCTTCCCCATTTCCCACAATTGTACTTTCTTAAACTGGAGTGTTGACTCTTTTAGAAATGTTTTTATTTAATTTATTTTGTATTTGATGGCCTGAACCAGCACACAAACTTTATAAAAAATAGTATTGAGAATAACACAAACGAGGGCCCAAATTAATTACAATTAAATGTAATTGTAGGTGTAATATTCAGCTTTCTAAACTCATTTCAGCTTTCTAAACTCATTTGATACCAGTCAAATCAAAATCATTGTAAAGCCACTATATTTCATAAAGGTTATAATTTGCGCAAAAGGGCTTGCTTCTCTTAAGGTTTTATTAAGACATTGGTTTAACAAAGGTATTAAGAAAATTACTGCATGTTTGAAGTGGATCCTTGAGTTCAGAGTGAACAGATTAGTTGATGATTTTATACTTTCAAGACCGAGCAGGTCACAGCGGGTGTGGACAGAGTTTATTGCTGCTTGAAATGTGTCGAACCTCTAATTAGTTACTCCTCGAGTAAAACGCTTTGCATGACTTCTATGCAAACCCCTCAGTAGTATCAAACTTTGCATATATGAGCGTTGGTGATAGCTGAGCTGCTGTAGCACACAAGTGTCCGAACTCTGTTTGATTTGTATAAACTGAGATATCAGTTCTGTGAGAAAAAGATAAGCTAAGGCGATTCACCAGTCTGCCTGTTACTGCGGGTTAGTGGACACTGCTATTACTTGATATTAGGGCTGCACGATATTGGAAAAAACTGACATTGCAATTTTTCCCCCCTGCGATATATATTGCGATATGAAAAAATACAGGAATTGAAGAAAAGAGAGTTTTTTTGGCCCGCAAACCATCCTTTCTTGAACTTTAATGCTATACAATTAGTATTTTTCTAACTATATTTAACCGGATGAAGGATTTTAGTCACGGGCGTCTGGATCTTAAGTTTTCAGAGCAACAAGCTGAGCTAGCTCGGTTAGCAGCGCCGAACTGCCCTGGAGAAACACATGAAACTACTTTATTCAGTGTTTTTACCTTTAATCACCGGGTCCGTTTGCTTTGGAGATTTGGTTGTGATTGGTGGTTTGCTGTGCATGCAGAGCCTGCATGTCACTCACTCAAGTACCCATGACATGAGAGCCGCGCAAGTTTTCCTTTTGTAGCAAGCAGCAACAGAATTGCAACATGACGTGTTTGAGTTAATTTGCCTACTTAATATCGCACGTCCTAAAAAAATATATATATTAAAAAACAATTATGAAAGAAATCGCACGTCCTGCGATGTGAATATCGCGCATGCGCATATCGCGATTATCGTCACGACACGATATATCGTGCAGCCCTACTTGATATCAAATATAATGAGACCGATCAAAAGACACACTTTTCTCAAAGATTTTAATTGACCTAATACTTTTATAGATAGATAGATTTTTCCTCATTGGAATAATTTATTTAGTTTTTTTTCCACAGACTTTAAATGCTGCATTGATGACTGTTGCTTACTAGTAACATATAGAAATATGTGATGTTATATTTTCCGGTGCTTCATATGCTCGGATAAAGTTCTTTCACTAAAGAAACGTTATGTATTTTGCAACAGTCGACTGTTCGTTAAGCCCCACCCAATCACTTAATAACGGTTGCTATGCAGATTTACCACACACAAGTCATTGTACCTATTGAAACAATCTGTCTTTGATTTCAAAGAGGTAGACAAAAGAAATATCTGAAATGACAACTGTGAACATTAACTTCTTTTAGTTACCAGTTCAGTACCAGAAATAGTAACAGTTAAAACATTTATTTTAAATGATTAAAAACATCTTAGGTTGCCCGGAGAGTTATCCTGCACAAGTGCTGTAGAGATGATGAGCACTCATGTCTCTTCTCTGACTAAAAAACAATGAAGAGAATTTTTCACAACTCTGATCTCAGCATTAAAGCAAATAAACAAACAAAACTAAAAGTCACAAACACTGACCCTGGGCAACGTAGTCTGACTTGTTAGGTCTTAATAAGGCCTGTTGTAGGCCAGTACAGACATGATATATTGTGTTATAACTGTTATGCAGCTATAAAGCCTCCTAGGATATCAAGTATATCTCATCAGAGCTCTGCCAACTGCTTTAGCATGCTAAGAAGCTTGACATAACTAGCATAGAAACATATTCACTTGATGGGGGAGGGGTTAAGCGAGCGGTCCAGAGCATGACCGTTATTTTTATGTGCATGTTTAACCAACAAAATATATGGTGTTAAGCTTGGATTTCATTTTGCAGAATGGGAAAATAACTGAATATGTAAGAATACGACTTTGTATCTGTGGCACCATTTTAAATCAATTTCATGTCCAGTAAAATGTGTATTACCCCCAAATTGTTTTGTGCAATTTCCCCAATAACTCTTGTTTTGTTTGAATAGGTCTTCAGTCTCCTGTGAAAGATTGAACTGTTTCTCCAGCTCTTTTCTAAATGTCTGACTCTGTTTCCTCTGCAGGCTCCTAAGAAGCCGACGACAGTCAAGAAGGAGTCAAAGGAGTCGAAGGAGTCGAAGGAGTCGAAGGAGAAGAGGGAGAGCAACGAGGAGAGCAAGGAGAACCTGAAGGCCAAGTCGGACGACTCTGGAGAGGAGAAGAACGGCGACGATGACTCTCAGAAGAACGGACCCAAGACAAAAAAAGGTAAATATGGATTAAGCAGGTGGCCTGTTTGCATGCTGAAAGAACAAATTGTTAATAATCAAAAGTAGCATGTGCTAATGCGTGCATATTAAAAGTACTTGGTGTAAAAACGGTTATCAAGATTGGTCAAATATTTATTGTAACTCCCAACTTCACTGGCATTTTGTCTTAATCACTTTGACTTTTTATGAGAAAAGTCTAACCTATGTCATATTTTTACCCTAAATCCAAAGGTTTTAGGGTTAAATAACAAATAGCTTTGTTTAAGTTTGAATAAATTCCCAATGCGCAAATTATTACAATGCAATAAATGTAATGAGCAAGTTTTAATACAGCTACCTTTAAAAAAAAAATGTGGATCCATAGCAGACGACTTAAGCAGGGCTCAACGCTAACTTTTAAAGTGGTTGCCAGGCTGGCAACCAGGCATCAGCTTTTGGTTGCCAAAACTGAAAATACGGTTGCCATTTTTAGTCACCTTATATTTTAAATAATTAAGATATTATACAGTTATACATCAACTTAATAATGAAAATGTGACACAAAAGAATGTTCAAATGCTTTATTACAATATGTAATTAACACAATTATGTGAAACTTAAGTGGTAGTAAACTTGTCCACCCTCAATTGCTGGTATACAAAATACCAGTAGTGCAGCTGCTGTCATGTTCTTCACAGATCCCTCACAAAGGAATTGAGCAAGTCACTAGTTTCTTGGTCATCCGTTGTCTCCCTTTCAAATTCTTGACCTTTGTGCTGACCCCCACCATAGATCCATTGGCCCTTCAGCATTGAAGTCTTGGATTGGCCAGAATAATACATTTCTAATGTTAAATAAATGAAAACCATTCACAGTTAAGAATTAGATAATAATTATTAATGCTGTAAATTACCTTTAATATGTCTAACTATATTTAAAATGTGTTACCTTTTTATAGAAGTGATTATATTTGTATGCCAATATTTTCCTATGGTAAAGTTTCGTTTTGCACTTTTATTTTGGTAGTAATAAGACCGGGACTCTTATTTTGAAGGAACTTTTACCAGAAGTGAATGGACAACGGAGCAGAATGTACATATATTTCGCCTCCCAGGACTTTACAAATGTCCTCTTTGCTTTTCGTTCGGGTTTACCTTGCGCTTTATCAGTTGAATCACTTTGAACATTCGTTTGAGATGTTGACGGGTTGGCCGAACTTTTTACCCCACAGTCAAACAACTTAATTTGCTTCGCCATTTTTTGTAATACAAACACACGGCGCACCGCACACGCGAGTAAACGTGCATCGCTTTCTGGCTCCGTAATCACACCAATGCACGTGCAACTTAAGTATCAGGTTCCGACTGGTCACAACAATAATTAAATATCACTCTTAATACAACAAATAATTAACATTTTTCTATTTTGGGGTGCACATTTTGCTGTTTGCTGTCCTTATTTCTTTATGTTAAAAACTGGTTGCCACTGATGGCAACCAAAGGCCAAGAAGTGGTTGACATTTTTTCTGAATGGTTGCCAATGGCAACCTGGTTTGTGATGGCTTCCTGTTGTAGTTTAATCCTTTTTATTACTGCCAAAACTAAACTGCCTGACAGCGGGTGTTTTCTGACCCTCCCGACATGATTACCCTCAGTGCGCCCAGAAAGTGTTTGTTGTGGGGGGGGCTGGGCTGGGCTGATTAGGTTTGGTTATCATCAGCCTTTTTTATTTCCAGAAACAATACTGGCATACAGAATGTGATGGTGAGGATTTCACCACAGACCACCACTTTCTTTAGCTACCAGTTTAGTTATGTGTTTTCTGAACTTTTCCATAAGCATATCCCTTTTTACATATTTTGAGGATTAGTCTGTTTTAATTAATTAAAAACATTCCACATCGCCGAGAGATGTATCAATCAGATTTAACATGCAGACGTGCTGTAGAGATGATGAGCACTCATGTCTCTTCTCTGACTAAAAATCAATGAAGAGAATTTTTACAACTCTGATCTCAGCAATGAAGCAAGTAATTACAGATTTAAACCCTTAATTAGGAGCGGCTGACTAATTTTAGAATAGGTGTGTTTGGCTATAGTTTGATGTTAACTCTGAGGGGGGTTGAAGCTTGAATACGCACAAATATTTTTTTATCTTGCAGTTCCACAAACTAATTCCCCACATTGCTGCTGTCAAAATCTCATAGTGAATAAAGCGTTTTGAGCTTGTTTTGATATTATTCCAGCAGTCATTTGCATGTTGTTGCTCCTGTAGCAGTGACTCAGCCACAATCTTTGTCTTTTTCCCCCCTTTATTCTCTCCCTCCTACCCTACCTCCCTCTCCTTCTCTTACCTGCTCAGTCAGCAGATAGACACAGGGCCACGTCACTTAAACCTGGCCGTCATTTCCTCTCGCTGCTTGTGTGTTATCTGTCACACACTCACCCACACAAACCCCCCTAAACCAGATTGTGTTTTAACAGCAGAACACTAATGCATCCTGCTGGCCGGCAGAGGTACTGCAGAGGCCTTTGTGCTCTTTGACCAACACAAAGACTCAGCACTTTTAGAGTCACAATTAGTTATGATGAACGTTCTAAAAGCAGTACCCTCAAATAAACAATGACTATCTCTCCCAAACAGTCATCTTGATATGAGGTATTTGCAGGTCACTAAGTTTAAAATACTTTATCAGTTAGCAAAAATGGCTTAAAAGGTGTCAATGCTTTCAAAATACTTACATTTAAAATGTGGTTGATGCTCATCTGCTTCTTTAAAATATATATTTATTTAATATTTAAAAAATCACAGTATAATTTTAAAATCTTAAATTGTTGCAGGAAAAAGTAATCAAAAAGAACAGTGCCCCCTTTTTAGCTTACTTATATATTTCCAAAACATTTGCTTCAAATGAGAAATAACAATTATTATGACAAATAAATGATTGAGGTGATGACTACAGACACCTTCCTCAATACAGCTGAATTAGTGTCTAAATGACAAATGTTTGCTAACGGCGTTGCCTCTTTCTGTCGTTACAAATAGGAAACAAGCAGAAGTGGGTTCCCCTGATGATCGAGGTGAAGTCCGAGGGTCCCAGGGAGCGTTCGGCCTCCAGGAACAACAGCCGGCAGAACGAAAACCCCCGTCTGCCCCCCAACGCCAGGAACGACCTCAGAGGTCAGTGTGTTCAGGTCACTTTCTGCAGTACAGATGCTCTTACAGAAGTCTGACAAAGGCAGTGCTGAAACACTGAACAACACATTCTTTAGTAGCTATTTTTCCTAGTCTTTGTCTGCAGTGCAGACTTTTCAATCAAATCTGACCTTCAGACGTGCTGAAGAAGTGATGAGATCTTCATGTCTCTTCTCTGACTAAACATCAATGAAGATAACCTTTCACAACTCTGATCTCAGCATTTAAGCAAACAATACAACTGAAATAACCTTACCTAGCTGGTTCAACACGAAGATTTAAATGCCAGGAGATATTGACTCTAGTTTTACTGTTTGACGTGTGACAGCAGATTTAAATTGGTTGTACAGGATATGTCTGTATAACTGCATCTGCTTGATCTATCGGAGACATTACTGCTTTTAGCTGGTTGAGACGGTGTGCATGACTCAGCAGCAGGATGTGGACCGATCTGCTTCTGCTTTGATAACCCTGCTCTTTAAATGTACATTTATCAAGGAAAGGAAGTGTGTGTGTGTGTAGATTCTATCTTGATATGCAGGATTTCAAGTTAAAAGTAACCTTCTTTTGATCAAAATCAGCAATGGTTATGCAGACGATTCTGCCAAAACGATTTGACAGTGGTTTTATTCTACTGTGCTGCTGTGTTTGTGCTAAAGGCTGTTTGTTTCCCTGCAGACTGGCACAGTCAAAAGTACGAGCGGGAGTGGCGTGACGACCACGACGAGGTGTCCAGCGTGAAGAGCGAGGGAGCGCCTTTCCGAGGAGGATTCAGAGGTCGAGGACGTGGAAGAGGGAGAGGCCGGGGGAGAGGCAGAGGAAGAGGTATGTTTGGGGGTTTTTCTTCATACTTATAGAAACAAATGTTAAATAGAACTGAGTAATACAACAATAGATGTAAAAAAAAAAGTAACTTTCTTTTTTTGTTTACTGAAATATGGAGGTTAGAATTTCCTCATTTTGTGTGTGTTGGTTAGGAGTAGAGACTTTTTTTAGTACCATTTTAGTTACTCGACAGTGTAACAAATGATAAAGAATGTGTAATTTTGATGTTGACACTCAAACATTAAGAATGTAGAGTGAGATAAGGTAAGATGGATAAGGTTTGTACAAACTGACACACAGGATGAAAAGTCATATACGCATAATCTTAGTAGTTAGCTTATGGCTATTTTTGTTAAACATAATAAAATAAAAATGTCTCTTACCTCATTTGGAGATGTATGGGTCAAATGTAGCCTTCAGACGTGCTGTAGAGATGATGAGATCTTCATGTCTCTTCTCTGACTAAACATCAATGAAGATACTTTTCACAACTCTGATCTCAGCATTTAAGCAAGTATGTTTTCATGGCCACAGGACAGCTCAGTGGTTAGTGCTCAGACTGCCAGGTCTGCAGATCATCAAGCACTGTCCCCCCTTTCAATGCTGCATCTACAAATAAAGGCACTCTCTGGCCTGATTTAAAAAAAGAAAAAAAATGTCTTGCGGGAGATGTTGTTTTCGGTCTCTCAAATATGGAGATTTGGATGTCAAATAAAACAAATTATTAATATAGGAAATAATTGGTGGATTAATGGCTACAATAAGTTATAATCAATTACAGCCCTGAAGTTGTATTGTTCAGCAGTAATAATGAATGGTAGTGCAATTCCCTACGAACAGTGGGGTTAATATCTTTCTGGTAAGAAAACATTTTTAGTAGGACCATCACAGTTTCTTGCAATCAGACACATGACACTGTTGCTTTTGAATGGTTAAAGACATGAAACAACAACGTGTGGCTTTGGGAAGCTATGACTGGTACATGCGTAACAAGCTGCAATGTGTATTATTCACACATTTCACCTACTGCAGACTAAAGTTAAATAGCACACAGACATGAGAGTAGCATCAATCCTCATGTATTTTAAACCTGACATATTCTGTCTAGTTTTGGTAATGTTTTGGCTGACTCTGCTCTCAAACTGGGTGGTTGGCGACCCTCGCTGGCCCCACGGAGGGTACAGAGAAAACAGAAAGTGCAATAACAAGCAGTGAGTGTTGGAAAGAGGTGAGGCAAGTTGGATCCAGCAGCAGAAGCAGGTTTCCCCGAAGGCCTGTTAGTTTTGGCAGGTTCTCCTTTCTCTTCCCTCGCTGTGTTTCACTTTCTTTTTATACACATTGTCTTTTCTTACTCTATTCCCTCTTCTTTATTTTCCTATTAACTCTCTCGGTTTTCAGCCTCCTCTTTCACAAAACCCTGCTCCAGACTGAGATGGTGAAAGCACTTCTCCCTTTTCTTATTTAAGAGCGAAGCCAAGTTTCAGAGTAGTTTGAAATAAAGTAATTGTTCATTACGTCCAGCTTAACGTCCCTCCTGTCTCCTTAAAGAGCAACTTGCAGGTTTTTTTTTAACTAGATTTATGCTTAACCTTGCCTGAAAACTACAATTAAAAAAAGTTAATGCAGGATTTTTTTTCATAGTCATATTACGTCACATGGGGGAGCAACTTTCTCGGACTCATTCTCTGCCCAATCCGCGGTAGTAGTTTGTAGTTGGTTTGAGCGGTTGTGATTTAGTGAGCTGGTATTTTTTCGGTAATTTTACATTGCATTTCACCATTTTAATCATGGTGAGCTGGAGTTTGTGCAGGTTGCACAAACTCCAGCCTGTCAGGACATCGAGTCCACAGTTTCCCTAACAGGAAAAGGACCGGAGCTAGCTTTCGTTCCTGGGTGCGTTGTGCGAGGTGCATCCACCTCCCTGCAGCACATACTCTCCACAGCTGAGGCCTATCAAACAAAACGTTTATCAGGAAACCGTATTACATCTCTCTCCCCCCCTTTGCTCCTCTCTCCCCCCCCCCCTTCGCTCCTCTCCCTCCCCTCCGGTACACAGCACCGTAAGACGTAGTGTGGAGTTGCATTAGGTAACGCGAGATACGGCTGATACTTGCGCATTAGTTTCTGTTATGGATCAGTATCAACAGTCCTGCCAGTAACGTTACTATATTATCAATACTACTTTAGTTATAGCCTGTTATTACATGGCTTAGTTGAATACTCGATTCTGATTGGTCAATTCAGAACACGTGACTCGTTGTTAATCCAGAACAGACAGACCGCTGTCAAGGACTTATTGACCGTTGTTAAGGACGCTCACATCTGCACAAACAAGTCCGGTCGATTGAACTGTATACACTTTTCTAACTGACAAGACAAGAGCGACAAGAAAACAGCGGAGAAGTAACGGGCAGAAACCCTCCTTTTTACGCAGCGGTCCAGACATAGACATCAAGCGACATTAAGCGTCTTTGGGTCTTAGAAAAGCGCTATATAAATAGAATTTATTATTATTATTATTATCAAACGGCGACACATATTCAGTTGCCAGTTACTTTGGCATTAGGGCAGGGATATCTAGATACTTTCCAAGGTTTGACATAATGAATTGTGCTACTTTTAAAGCAAGCAACGATGTTTTCAAATCTGTAATCAAAAAGCTCCGCCTTCCTGCCGTTGCTACGTTTTTTTTTTCAAACGGTAACAACGGACTATTTTCCTTAGCGGATGCATGTCAATTTAAATCAATACATACAACTATTTTTTAAATCAATAAAATCATTTTCTAAATCCATAAAAGCATTTCAATTAATAGTGGGAGTCATATCATTACTTTGTTGAGAATGTGGCCATGTAATAAGCGGGATAATGTGCAGCGACTTGGTCATTATGGGGAAAAGAACACCTTCATGCAGATCTAGATCCCTCCGCTTCGCGTCGGGCTCCTGATCAGCCTGTCGGTGTTCTTTTCCCCATAATGACCGCGTCGCTGCACATTATCCCTTACATATATGATAGCTAACTTTACAATGTTGTGATGTGACCGACGTTAGCTAACATTAACTGTAGCTAACGCTGGTCACTCACCAAGACAGCTGCCCAGTTCTCCACTGGTTCTCCTCACACCACAGCTCCATTTCTCTCCGATGGCCGTTATTTCTTCTAATCCTTGGCTGCTCCTGGTCTCCTGGACGCCTAGCAGGCTCATAATTATATGGTTGTGGTCCGTCATATGCATTCGAATATACATTTTCAACCTCTTCTGTGTCAAAACGAGCATTGTGAACCATGTTTATTCATACGTTAGACCGGCCGCTCTCCCTGATGTGACGTCACACGCGGGTGGTCTTTTTTTATGCGGAAGTAAAAATGTCTTACAAAAACGACGCCAGATGTCACTGTAGTGTATATTTCTGTATATTTTTTTGAAAATCTAGTGTATACATCATTTTTCTACACATTTATTCACTGGTGTCTCTAACCTGCAAGTTGCTCTTTAAGGACGAGCAACAGCATCTCAGAATACAGTAAATATAGTCAATGCCAAATGTATCAGTTTCATTGTTAAGGGAATCTTTAAATATAGTTTAAAATATAATAGAACCACATGCAGCATTAGGATTCTTTTGCATGTGGTGATGTGATCATGTGGTATTTTCACTTATAGACAGAATACGGGGCATTTTGTATGTTATATATTTCAGGAAACTAAAAAATTATTTAACGACCACTACTAAATCTCTGTCTTTTTCTGTCCTTTCAAGGCCACTATGACCACCATTACGGCTACAAGTCCTACGACATGAAAGACGGTTCCTGCGACCAGAAGTTTGGCAACACGGTGACCTACTACTACGACAACATGAGCAGCAACGACCTTTTCTCCGTGGACCACGACCATCTGAAGGACTACATCAAGAGGCAGATGTAAGTTTGGCTCCTTCTCTTACAGAAGTCAGACAGAGGCAGTGCTGAAACACTGAACATGGGAACGATACGTTCTTTGGTAGTAGGAGGTTTTTCAAGTCTGAGATCTTCTGAGGAGATTTTCAATCAAATCATACCTGCAGACGTGCTGATGAAGTGATGAGATCTTCATGTCTCTTCTCTGAAGAACATCAATGAAGATAACCTTTCACAACTCTGATCTCAGCATTTAAGCAAACCAATACGTGACAAAGCCATATCTAACTGTGATCAAGTGAACAATCACTGTTCTAATCACAGTACATTTAAAACTTTATACATATATATTTATTTGACGAGTTATTGTAGTGTGAAACAGATTAAATAATCTTAACCCAAATCTTTGCTACATCATTTTACCAACTAGAGTTCAGGCTACAAGCTTGTCATCTGTTTTGGAGGCTTTTTGAACTCGGTAAAGTTAGAAAAAAGGCCCTAGAAGTTATTTAAAGTTATAAAGGTCCTTGCTGCTAATTAACCTCTGTGGTTATGATTAATTTATTTTACATGCAACCTCAAATAACATTTTCCAAAACAACTATGGGTCTCCTTCTAAATGAAACCCCTTACCCATCCACAACAGGTCGGCAGTCAGTTTGGCAGATGTAGACAGCTGAACTGCAGGAGCATTACATTTTCCTCGTGTGCACTCAGTGCCCCCTTCAGTTTAAATCAAGTTACATAGAGGCTTTGAAATCCTGTCAAATATTCTGCTTTTGATTAGGGGTTCCTTGGGAGGTATTCTTTTCCATGTGGCAATGCCTGTTTCCACAAAATGTTTTTAATACTCTTTTCATTTGTTCTGCTCCTGGTCTGACTGGGTTCTCATTTGGATAAGATATCTCTTGTTTCCCTTACTGCTCTCTTGTGCTTCCGTAAAGCAGGGACATTTTAAAGTGAAAGATGTAAGGAGTCGTCTACAAACAGCTGATTTGTGTCCCTGTTCTCCTGCCCCCTGTAGTGAGTACTACTTCAGCCTGGACAACCTGGAGCGGGACTTCTTCCTGCGGAGGAAGATGGACCAGGAGGGCTTCCTGCCCCTCAGCCTCGTCGCCAGCTTCCACCGAGTGCAGGCCCTCACCACCGACGTGAACCTCATCTTGGAAGTAAGCACATTTATCACAGTACAGTGACGTTGGAAAACATCATTTTAGCTGTGATGTGGTAAGTGAGTCAAAACTGTCAGAAACTGTTGTTTATCCATAGTTAATTCAATTCAAGTTTTTGACGAGTTGAGTTAAATCAGCTACATTTCAAGTAGAAAAGCAAATAATAGAAACTTTGAATACTGTCGAAATGTAAAAACGTAGTATAATTAAAACCAATGCTCCTCAGATAAAAGCTCTACATTTTAAAGACTAGTTTGATGTTTGGGAAATAAACGTATTCGACATGTGACAAATGTAATACTTGGCCATTACTTGGCAAATTGTTATTTTTACATTTTGACTTTTGTATGCATGAAAACAAGCTATTATGGGTTATTCAGTTTTCTTTACGAGGTCTTGGTGAAACTTTAAATTTGAGATTTTCAGAGCAGATTTTCAATGAAATCCTACCTGCAGACGTGCTGATGAAGTGATGAGATCTTCATGTCTCTTCTCTGAAGAACATCAATGAAGATAACCTTTCACAACTCTGATCTCAGCATTTAAGCAAACCAATATGTGACAAAGCCATATCTAACTGTGAACAAACACTGCTCTAATCACAGTACATTTAAAACTATATACATATATATATTTATTTGATGAGTTATTGTAGTGTGAAACAGATTAAATAATCTTAACCCACATCTTTGTTACATCATTTTACTAAACTAGAGTTCAGGCTACAAGCTTGTCATCTGTTTTGGAAGCTTTTTGAACTCGGTCAAGTTAAAAAACTTAGTATAATCGAAACCAATGCACCTGAGATAAAAGCTCTACATTTTAAAGACTAGTTTGATATTTGGGAAATAAACGTATTCAACATGCGACAAATTCAATACTTGGCCATTACTTGGGGAATTGTTATTTTTACACTTTGGCTTTTGTATGCATGAAAATGCATGGTTATCCACTGTTCTTTACGAGGTGTTGGTGGAACATTAAAGGATTTTCTTATGAAAGAAAATGTATCTCCTTAATGCCATTTATGAAAATGTGAGGTCATGCTTGAGACGCACTGAACACAAACGTATCACTTCATATCCTTTGACATACGAGCGATCCTTCATGCGGTACCGTATCTCTGTTATTAACGCTCAGACTAACTGACCCATCGTCTCTCCTAACAGGCTTTAAAGGGCAGTCAGGAAGTGGAGATAATTGACGGGAAGATCCGTCGGAAGGTGGACCCAGAGCAGTGGCCCCTCCCGGGACTGGCCATGCTCAACCAACCCCAAACAGATTTCTCCCAGCTCATCAACTGCGCCGAGTTTATCCCGAGACAGATGCCCGATGAGCCCAGAGGTGAGCAGTCTGATCTTCTCTTAATGAAACTGAAATTTGGATTAAAAAAAGAAAATCAAGTTTAGTTTTTCTCGATTCTACTTTAGCAATTTGCCTCAATCTGAAATCAAGTCAGTACAGTATTTTTTTTTAAGCAACACAAATATAAACACTTGAAGTAATCATATGAAATGTTCTGTCTGCTGCAGGCTCTCCCAGGTCCTCAACACCGGTGAGGAAACACAGCAAGACTGATTTAGACACCTCCAACCTCAAGACGATGCCCAAGGGCCTCTCCGCCAGCCTCCCCGACCTAGACTCAGAGTGCTGGATCGAGGTCAAGAAGAGGCCCAGACCCTCCCCGGCCAGACCCAAGGCCAGCGCAGAGAAGGTGAGGGTCCGCGCCATTCACTCATAACATTGTTCCATCCAAGTTTCCATTGTTTGGTTTCACATTGACCATAATGCCTTTTGGCCACTTGCCAGCAAAAACTTGTTTGTAATGTCACAAAAAGGTGCCTATTAACTTTATAAAGAAATCAATTTTTTTTTTAAACATGTCAAGAAGTCATCATTTAGTTCTGATTGTTTTAATATTGGTGCAAATTGAATAGTCTACTTTTTAGAAATAGATAGTTTAAAGTTTTTCACGTCACTTGTACAGATCACTGTAAATATTGTATTATCCCATCTGACACACCTATCTCTGATCTGGTAGTGTTAACAATCTTTGTTTTCTATGTGCAACAAATCTGCTCAAATCATCAGGATTTAAAATCAATTCTGTCAAATGTAAAAACGTAGTATAATTTAAAACTAACGCACCTCAGATAAAAGCTCTACATTTTAAAGACTAGTTTGATTTTTGGGAAATAAACGTATTCGACATGCGACTAATTTAATACTTGGCCATTACTTGGCAAATTGTTATTTTTACACTTTGGCTTTTGTATGCATGAAAACAAGCTATTATGGGTTATTCAGTGTGCTTCACAAGGTGTTGGTGGACCATTACATTTGTGAGATTATCGGAGCAGATTTTCAATGAAATCCTACCTGCAGACGTGCTGATGAAGTGATGAGATCTTCATGTCTCTTCTCTGAAGAACATCAATGAAGATAACCTTTCACAACTCTGATCTCAGCATTTAAGCAAACCAATATGTGACAAAGCCATATCTAACTGAACAAACACTGCTCTAATCACAGTACATTTAAAACTTGACAGAATCGATTGTAATCCCTGATTAAAACACTGATGATTTGAGCAGATATGTTGCAGAAATATAAAGAAATCAAAACATTTAAAAACATGTCAAGAAGTCATTATTTAGTTCTGATTGTTTTAATATTGGTGCAAATTGAATAGTCTACTTTTTCTCAAAATAAATAAATAATTTAAAGGTTTTTTTAAAGAAAAAAACACACACTAATGCTGGCATGTAGCCATTGGGCATTGTTTACCCAGCAAATGAATTCCATTTTCCCATTCACAGACTTTTTTTAACCACCTCAATAAACATTCAACACAATTTATCCTTTTTTTCTCTTATTTTTTTAAAGCTTTTTCATGATTTTTTTCGGTTGCCGAAGAAAACTACCAATTATGAGTTAACCTTTTCCTCATGGTATATTTAACTTGTCATGCCGGTATTATTTCCCCATCCATTCACGTCTTCACATGCCTGCTCTCTCCTCCTCCTGTGTGCTCGGTGTTGATTCACTGATGCAGGCCCCCTCGTTGCAGCAGCCGAAGGAAAAGGAGGACTTGGTGCGCTGCCTGCTGCCTCAGCCCGGCTCCTCGCCCTCCCCCGCCACCACAGGAACTAAGGTGAATACGCTTCTTGATTATCATTCCTCTAAAAACAGATGATCTGCAACTAATAGTTTCGTCCTCCCTTTTATTATTTTCCTCGATCAGTCTTTTATTGTGGTAATTGCGATACATTGATAAGTTATCTGAACAACAGTTTAAATGCTCAGTTATTCAATTAGCAAGAGCAACATTGGAGAAAAGCAGTAAATCCTCACATTTGAAATGTTAAAAATATTTTTCTTATTGACTAAGTGATTATCATATTTATTTGTTTTTTGGGATTTTCTGAGGATCAATTCTGACAATTAAGTCTTTCAGTTTGCACTGTGTATTTGTCATTTTAAATCATCTTATTCTGTTAGCTATTAAACTATTTTACATCTTGAAAGTAATCCAATATGGTGATCAAAAAGTCAAAGCATGTAATTGGCTTCCAACAATGTCTTCATTTTTCTAAATGTTTATCTGTGATCAGGACGGAGCGGAGCCGGACGAACCGGAGGAGCTGGACTTCATGTTCGACGAGGAGATGGAGCAGATTGACGGACGGCGCAACACCTTCACCGATTGGTCGGACGATGATACGGACGGCGAGATCGACGACCAAGACGTCAACAAGATCCTGATCGTGACTCAGACGCCGCCCTACCTGAGGAAACACCCGGGGGGCGACCGCACGGGACACCACACCTCGCGCTCCAAGCTGACCTGCGAGCTCGGAAAAGTGATCAACGACGGGCTCTTCTACTACGAGCGGGACCTGTGGGACGACACGTGCGATCCCGAGTACGCCACCATCAAGGTGAGCTCATTCTGCGCGGTTAACCTACGATTTATTATTTACTATCACGGTTAGGGTCTACTGTTTTATTTTACCATCAACGAGAAGTGGACGGCCCCAACATGTAAAGAAGATGGAACATTTTCTGCTCGACATTGTGAGAGAATTTGGGTTTTTTTCTTTGTCCCTTTTAAAAAAAGTCTGAGGAACAGCGGTGAAGCAATATGTAGAGTTTGATTTTGATTTTGATTATTACAAAAATGATATACTTATATTGAGCCATGCTTTAGTTTAAATAACTCTTTTGATATGACAATCTGTGAGCCTTAAGTTAAAAATTAAACTCCAAAGTCTGATTCGAAGGTTTTCAAAGCCGGCTACATTAATGTCTAAAGAGACAGCTCACTTTAGTGAAAACATGGTGACAGAAATGCCATTTCATTAGTTCATTTCTGGATTTCATGTCACCAACCAGCCAGAAAATGAGTGTTTTGCTTCAAAAATAAAAGACTTGAGTTGTAAGAAAAAAACAAATGTGCTTGTGATTAGGCTCCACAAACCACAATAAGTTGGTTTGTGTTGAAACTATTATTTTAAGTTGAGTTTTTTTATTTTTGGGTTTTTATTGATAAAAAAAAGCACCTATTATTGTGTCGGGGTGAGTTTTGGGACCACATGATCCACCTGGAAACGTATCAGAGGTCAAGACAATCAAACACAGCCTGTAGTGCTCCATATCTCTATCAGGCTCTTCTGACAGCTTCCACCTCAGTCATTGGCAGATTGGAGGTGTTTCTGCCCAAAACCAGAGGTAGATTTAGAGCTTTTTCTGGATATGGAAACCCGACACAATAGAACATTTTTTTTGTTTTGGTTTTGTTGTCATTGCTGCCCATTGTAGCATTGTTGAACTCATTGTGAGGCCTTCACGTGCTCGGCAGCACACGTCCAGCTGCGTGTGGAACAGGGGACGCTTGTTTATAAATAAACCCCACAAACGCGGCCTCGGCCTGAGGGGTCGAGGCAACAGGCTACAGGGGGAACAAAGATGGACGCTCAGAGATCTGAAGATTCTTGGTGGAATAAAGGAGAGAGTGTGAGTGTATAATCCAACACACAGACTGGTACATAAGACTAGCTTACAGGAAGGTTTGACATTGAGCTGCTGTTGTTGGAGGAGCAGTACAGTTTTGTTTTTAGGTTCTACAGGCGTGGAAAATTCAGGGTTTTTTTGTTGCTGAAACTGAACTGGTTGAGTTACTCGTGTCAGAACAGTGAGGGCCGCAACATGAAGCTGAAAAGAGTGTTTTTGGCAGCCATGTTTTGCTGCTGCATCACAATCTCCAGATTACTGCAGATAAGGTCTGTTGAGAAGAATACATGTTAACATTTTTCTCAATGTTCCAGGTTATTTATGTATTGCTTTATTTTTCCTTGTATATTGGTGAAAGAGCTTAGGTCTCAGTACAGCGTTTTAAATTCTGTGAAAGTCTTTTTTTATGTTTTGCTTACAGTGTATTAATATCTTAATCCTTATTGTCCCTCCTTGAGAAATATTTTATTTAATTAAAAAGCTATATTGACATGACACACATATGAACTCTTGTTTTTCTCTGTTTTACAGCAAGAGGTGGAGAACTTCAAGAAGGTTCACTTGATCAGCCGCGAACAGTTTGACGGCCTGACTCCCGAACCCCCTATCGACCCCAAGCAGGAGGTCCCTCCTGCCCCCCCCAAACCCCAGCAGAGTAAGTACACAAAAACACATAGAAAATGACTTTATTTATACGTTTTTATGACATACTATGGTATTTCCTTAAGAAGGAAATTGTAATAACATACTACACTATATTTGTTGTACTCTTTTATGGCATATTCAATTATGTTTTTTGTAACATACTATACCATTTATTTTAAAAATAAATGTATGACATTGTTGAGGCATATTACTTTTTTTATGCATGTTTTGTAATTTGTTTAATGGCATACTAAGTTTTCTTTAAGAAATCAAAGCATAATATTTCGTAAACTAAACATACATGCTATAACTATATATCTTTTATACGTTTTTAAGGCTCTGCTATACGACAACTTATTGTGACATTCATACAATTTGCGACATTTGTTTCTTTTTTAATGTTATTCAAAAGTCTTACTTCACTATTGGTCATTTCAAATGACATACTGAGTTGCATTTAAAGTATTAAGGCAGCTACTTTTTTTTTTAATACTGATTTTAATACAAATATTTCCCTTCAGTCCCCACAGACGCTTTGGCGAACAAACTATTCGGAGCCCCTGAGCCCTCTTCAATAGCTCGCTCGCTTCCAACTACCGTGCCTGACTCGCCCAACTACCGCAGTGCCCGCACGCCCCGCACGCCGCACACGCCGCACAGGAAGGACTCCACCATGACGCCGCGCTTCTACCCCGTGGTGAAGGAGAGTCGACCTGTAGATGCCAAGGTAAGACGGCTCCCATGTGAGGGGGACAGACTTAAATTAGTGGATGTTCACTTTGTATTGTCCCAATACCTAGTTTTATTAGGATAAAGAAACCATTTGTAAACGGTAGTGGTTTGACAAAATGTTGCTATGTTGTTGGGTAACAGTCAGGTCGGCGTCTGACAATTTTGAAAATCAATGTCGAGTCAAACCCTACAAAGGGTACATGTTACCTAAAGGGGAACCATAAAGCACATGCCCCTCTTAACCAGTTCAATATTTCTATAATAGGACTCAATATGTAGTCCCACGTGTGTATGCAATATATAGTACCTGCAAAATAGTCTTAATAAAATAATATAATCCCCAAAACTCTGTTCCAGGTTTTCTTAACATATTATTTATCTCTGTTACTTTCAGACGCCCAGGAAGAGGAAGACCCGACACAGCTCCAACCCCCCCATGGAGTGTCACGTGGGCTGGGTGATGGACTCCAGAGAGCATCGCTCCCGTACCACCTCTGTCAGGTGAGACTCACTCTCTGCACTCTCTCCTTTTGGACAGAGACAAATCTGATTTCTGTTGTAAAACAGTACAAGACTTCAGATAAAATGTTTCTTAAATTCTGGCAGAAGTGGAAATTAGTCTTTCATTATTCGTTTTTTGACAACTCCTCTGACAATTGTATATATATTTTTTTATATAATAATGAAAGTTGTTGTATCAAATGGATCTTGAAACGTTCTAAATGTATTGTAAATGGGGAGGCTTTACCTACTTTTTAATTAATTGTATGACTCATTCATGTCTAGAAACAGACTCAGGAGAGAACACCTCATTAAGGCTTAACTTTTGTTTTTAACTACTGAAATGTAGTCCCCTTAATATATCCTTTATGACAACATAACTTCACTGACGTAGCTCTAAGATTCGATGTGGCTAATACTCACTCTGTCCTCCCCCCCTTTCAGCTCCACTGCCAGCCCATCAGAGGGCACCCCCGCCATGGGTAACATCGGCTGCACACCTCAGTCCCTCCCTAAGTTCCAGCACCCCTCACATGAGCTGCTCAAGGAGAACGGCTTCACGCAACACGTTTACCACAAGTACCGCCGGCGCTGCCTAAACGGTAAACACTTCTACTTCTACTATCTATTCTGCAGAATTAATAACGTAACGTCATACTTGATGTTTTACTGTTAATCTTATATTTTAATATAAGCCTGTCATCTTAATGTCTCTTCTTCAACCAATCACAGAGCGAAAGCGGCTGGGTATCGGCCAATCACAGGAGATGAACACACTCTTCCGCTTCTGGTCATTTTTCCTGCGGGATCACTTCAACAGGAAGATGTACGAAGAGTTCAGACAGCTGGTGGTTGAGGACGGGAAAGAAGGATACAGGTGAGACCTTTGAACACTGAATGGGTGTAAATATAAGTAGCAGGAACACATTTGAAATGTAGATAATATGTCAGTAATAGGGTAGTTCTTGAGGAGATATGATGTTCTGTCCTAAAATCAGTTCTTACTGGGAGCTTTAGGTGGGTTGTTAAATTAGACCAGACTTCTTTTTTTTTAGCAATAATGGAAAATGTAAATGTAACTTGTTGTGTGTTTCAGGTACGGTTTGGAGTGCCTGTTCAGGTACTACAGCTACGGTCTAGAGAGAAAGTTCAGGCCAGACATCTTCAAGGACTTCCAGGAAGAGACCATGAAGGACTACGAAGCTGGTAAGAATGATTTGGGGGGAAAAACAGCATAACACACAGACCAGAGGGGATTATATGATTTGATTAAAGCAACAAAAATACCAACATGTTTCTGGTTACACTTTCGTCCCTCATAGGAAAAGATACACTAACCTTTTTTTCTTTTCTTTTCTGTCCTCAGGCCAGCTTTATGGACTAGAGAAGTTCTGGGCCTTCCTTAAATACTCTAAAGCCAAGACCATGGAGATCGACCCCAAGCTGCAGGAGTACCTGCACAAGTTCAAACGTTTGGAAGATTTCAGAATTGACGTGAGTAAATGTTTTTATGTGGTATTTAACCGCTGATTGGCAGAATCTGTGAAAAAGATCAGAACCTCACCTGAGCATATGTCTGTTGAAAATGTAGAAAAGACATGACCCTGTAGTTTTGGCACAGGTTATTTCTTATCCCCGGTCATTTCACTCAAAGTAAGACATTTGAATCAAGAATTGTGAAACCTTATTTTTACGAGTAAACTGATTCTAAAAGTGATCACACTGAGGGTGTTTCTCAATCGCGAGTACGCTTGCTTGGTAGCACATGTCTGCCGAGCATCTTGCTTCAGAAGCGAGTCAAGAATACTTCCTGGCATTCGGAAAACAAAGAGTGGAACAGGCTAGCAAGTGTGCAGGTGTGCGTCATATGAGAGGCCCCGCCTTACATCTTCCGCCACAGATTTGGGGAAATTGGTCCGTGCGCAAAGCATTGTGGGGATTTTAAGACCGCGGAGTCTACTCGTGTGCAGCCTCGATATTTCTCCAAACGGAGTACGCCGGGCTCGGTAGAATTCCAAGTATGCTGGAGATTGGAACAGTACTTCGGCGGCACTCGATGACGTAGTATGCTTGAAATAGTGGCTCTGAAGCAGCTTTACTCGCGATTGAGAAACACCCTGATTGTGGTTTTGTGCTTTAAAAAACGAGTCCCCCCCTCTCTAACCTCCCTATTTCTGGTTCCAGCCGCCTATGGAGGAAGGGGGGCCGCAGGAGACACTCGTCCAGCGGGGACAGTCGCCGCCGGCACCCCTCTCTGCCCTCCAGCCGGCCCAGCAGCCAGAACAGCTCGGGCCCCAGCCCTGCCCCCTTCGCCCCGGGCCCCGCAGCCAAGGATGATGCCAAACCCAGCAGCCAGAAAGACCCCGCCCCCCCCGCTGACCCCGCTCCAGACGCCATGACACTGAAGTAACTCCACCAACACGCCGGCCCACATGATGAACTCAACCACGTCTGCTAGTCGCTGGTTCTGTCTGCACCACAGGAGGGGAGGGGGGGGGGGGTAGTCCACTTCTGCATACAAGCATGAGAATTTTTTTTTTTTTACTTCAACAAACTTTATTAAGAAATAAGGAAGACAAATAATTAATATGGCTCGGTTTTTTAATTAGTTGTAAGCTTGTGAGGAAAAAGATACTTTTTTTTGGCTTGATGAGGCAAGGAATGGATGAGGTGTCAAACACTTTTTTCTTTTCTCTTACAAATCATTGCCAGTCCACACGGTGGATGGTTCGGTGGTGACGTACTACCCTGGAATTATTTTTATTTTATTCATTCATTTTTTTATATTTTCATGTTGACCCCCCTCTCTGTCACTGGGACCCCTCTTCGATCACTGTCCTGCTGGCTGAAAGATATTTGATTCCTCCCTCAGTTCTCAGATTTATGATTATTATTTCTTTGGCATGCGGTGAGATTGGGGACTTGGAAATAGTTTGATGGACACTGAGCATCTGAAAGCCGGATAGCGGCGGCGCGCGAGGCCGTGCTGCTCCTGACATCCAACCGGACCAAAGTGGTTTAAACCGAGCGACTGACATTTCCATCCGCTGATCCCCCAGTGCTCTCAGTTGAGGGGCTTAAAATTCAAAATATTTGATTTACTTTATGGCTGGACATTGATGGTTAAATATTAAAGAACCAAATGATAAAAAGAGAGAAAAAAAAAAAAAGACTTATACCAATCCCTCAGTATGGACACGATCATTGAAAGTTGCCTTATTTGAATGATTTTACTGCTTCTAACATGTGCCCCGCCACCTTATTGTCGATTGTACAGCATTGGAATCAACCATATATCCGGTCACCTTTTTTCCAGCAAAGGCCACTAGGTGGTGCTGCCAAACTGTTTCACTTACCCCCCTCCCTCACTCCCCTCCTTCACTTTTTCTGAACTGTCTTCCAAGTGTAATTTGGTCTGTTACAAGTCCTGTAATTCTTCCCTGTGTTTTGCAAGTCGTGGCTTTTTGTGCTGAAACAAACCTGGCGGGAAGTTTGTCGCCTTTTCCCGAAAAAAACCAAACACTTCAGTGGGCTGCCAAGTCGGGAAGGGATTGAATCACCGATTGATCTTCCTTTTTGGGTGCTTTTCCCGACTTTCCCCCCCGCTGCGCCTCCCAAGCTGCGTCCATCCGTTCATCCATCCGTGTAACATCCATCCATCCGTCGACCATCAGTGACGACCCAGGACTGGAATCATCAATCTGGATTACTTGAAGAAGCGATGGTGTTGAGGAGGGCCGTGGTGCTCTGGGTGGAGACGCTTCCCGAGGCCCAGACATTCGGCCTCCGACTTCACCGTGAAGCTCGACCGGGCCTCGGGCGCTCGCCACCACTTCCTGTCCCACCCTCAGATTCACAGATCAGTTACAGGCATGAACGCTGACAGGTGTTTTCCATGCGCAGGTACAGATGTAGCAGTGTGAGCTAGTTACTTACACACACACACACACACACACACACACACACACACACACACACACACACACACACACACACACACACACACACACACACACACACACACACACACACACACACACACACACACACACACACACACACACACACACACACACACACACACACACACACACACACACACACACACACACACACACACACACACCTTGATGTCTTGCCTCGCTGTCAAGAGAAATTCAAGACTGGACTCAGTTCTGTTCTGTCGTCACACTTCCTACAGTCACGTGTGGATAATTAAATCTTTATCCAGTACTGATGATATCAAATAGAAGATTTCTTCCTCCACTAATGTAAATGTGAATTTGACAGATGAAGAGAAAATGATTACAGCTCCCTGCTACTTGTTTTATTGTTTATAGAACAGATTATATATTTGCCTTACACGTGTACGTACTCTTTAACTTTTTTTTTTTTTTTTTTAAAGGTCTCATGATTATCTTTTTAATGCTTTTTCATTTCAATTTGCAGTGTTTCTAGCGTTGTTATAGTGGGGGCGGGGTTTGTCTCAGACTGTTTCAAACATCTGTGGATTTCAGAAACAGGAACATAATTCACAACAAAAGGGAACGTTGGCATCAGGGCGTCAGCGAGTGTTCAGTGCAAAAACTAAAGCTGTAAGTTTATAGTGTTTCACGTTGAAATCAGTTATTTTCTCTTTTTCTTTTCTTCTAGTAAAGATGTTGAACTTCCAAAAACACATTTTTCTAATATTTAAACCCCTGTTTTTCGACAAACATGTCTTCCAAGTCTAAAAACGAAGTTGATTTGAGGACCATAATTGAAGAAATTCACAAAGTTCTGGAAAAGAAAATATTGAGTCTTAATGCCCTTATCCAGATGCTCAGTGAAAAATTGGCCATTTTCTGTTTGACAAATTATTAACTGTCAACAGATCCTTTGTGAGTTAAAAAGTTAAAGTACATTTGACGGATTAAGAGTTTGGACAAGCCTGACCCTTCCTTTTTTAAATCAAAACATGTTTTTTCTTATTTTTTTTACTGAAGTTTTGGTCCTTTTTGCGTTATAATCATTCAGCCTATTGGTTGATGTTCTAGCAGAGAGAAAATCCTGTCAGTGTTTCTTCCTCTGAATCCACAATTGTTGGAAACATGAAATTGCAAAGTTGTACTTTCTTTTCTTCCTTTTTAATGTTTTGTTGCTTTATCTTCAGGGAGATTTGGATCAGTTACAGAAGCTTACAGTTGATGCATAAAAAAGTGTTTACTGGAGGTTAAAATATGAGCTACAAAACATTCAGAAAAGAAGAAGACAACGTGTCCCTAAACCAGCCGAGCCTTCGAATGGCTCAGCTGGAGACCTGGCAGTCGGACCTTCTTCCTGGGGCAGTCACATGATCCCTCTCTCTAATGTGATCATCACCTGTCACCGGACATTTGGGGGTTTCAGGAGTTTTCTGCCTTTCAGACTAACTGTAGGGTGCGCCGCACTCTGCTCATCGGAGAGAGGAGTGATGGACGTGGGAAGAGGAAGAGACAGAAGAGAAAGAGCCCAACTTGGGCTTGTGAAGTCGTTCAGAAGATTATGGCTGATGTCTGGTGACTGAAAAAAAAAAAGGACAAAATTCCATAAAGCCATATGAATAAGAAATAACTGTATATGAACCATTAAGATAGTTCATTGCATTACTATATCTAGGCTTGTCATGAGGGAAAAAAAGATGAAAAAAGGAACAAAAAAAATATATAAAATGGAAAAATGTAAAATACTTGAATGAGATCTTGTATTATAACATTTAATATTCATAATATCTGCTTTGTAGGCTGATGTGATTCGCTATTAGTGTTATTTGTAATTTGTAGTAATTATGCTTTTCCTTTAATAAAGAAAAAAAACACAAAACGGACAAAAAAACCTCAAACACTGACTTATGAGTGATTATTTCTCCATGTCTCTGTATGTATCTATTTAGCGGTTTCAAAGATTACATTTGGATCGTTTTTTTTGCAACAGGAAAAAAAATCCACATTTTCTTACAATCTTTTATTAAAAGATCCCATCAAAAAATTAACATTGTATCAATCACAGTAGTTGGACTCTTGAACATTCATGCTTTATTATACAATCATTACTAAGGCCACAATGAATACACATTACATCCAAGGATATGTTTAAAGGCAGAAATGGAAAGTGCAAAAGTATCTTCTGCCTGAGCATTAGGGAACACAAAGTCGAAGTGCTGATACTTAACATTACTTAAAATACCAAATGTGTTTAAGAATGAAAACATTTAGATTAATGTGCAAGAGTAGAAAAAGAGTGCTCGCGTTAAAGCTATGATTCATGACAAAAAGTTGAACATGTCATTAGTTTACCCAAGTGAGGATGAGTGGAAATGTAAACTCAATTAAGTACAAGAAAACGATGTCAACTGAAGGGTCCTTTCTTATAAGATGAGCAGGGCAACAGGGCGAGGGGTAAACATGGCTCTGTCACCGGAGAAGATGTGATGGCAGAAAAGTGATATGATTTATTTAAATGCTCCTTAAGTGGGATCTGGTCCACAAACAAGCTACTTGTTGATCCTTGTGACTTGTGTTATGGACAATCCTTCCACCATAAAAGCAAAATGGAGTTAGTCATAGTAAATAAAATTGACTTATACTCTAGTTGCCAGCATGGTGAACCTGGAAATGTTGAGTACACCAACCTTTTATGTTAGACATGTAGTACGGGTCCCCAGCACATAGAGACTGTCGTATCCTAACTTGCATATGTTGGGCTATTAGCATTAGTTGTGTTTATTAAAGGTTATGGCATTATAGCGTATGCAGAAAATAGTAAAACAATAACTTGTCATTGAGGATGCTGAATCAATTTCTGACATCAGGATAAAAAATGGCTAATTTAACCAGAAAGTGGCCATATTTGTATTCTCAGTGGGCTGATTTCCACTACCAAGAGTAGTGTCGCGACCATTGGCTGTAGAAAGCACACGATTAAAAATCATCATTATTATTTTAATTCTGAAAAAGAAATGGACATAGCATCCTCAAAAACCACTCCAAAATAATCAGCATTTTGTTTACTATTGTCTGCATCTGCTACAATGCCATTCATTTTAATTAAAGCAACTTGTGCTTATTGCTCAAAGTGCCCAACATATGCAAGTTGGCATGTGGCCGTTTCTGTGTGCTGGTGACCCGTACTATACATTTCTGGTTTCACAACAGGACTGTAAAAGCTGGCAAATAGACTATTACTGGGAGTTATCATGCTTTCCTTTTCATCTATTTGTTTATTGGTGGACATGAGCTTCCACAAACTTCTCCATGGTGTTTTGGAACAAATGTAAACTTTCATATCCAGAAGGAACAGAAAATAACCCTACACTATTGACAGCTCTGCATCCTTAGCACTTGTGAGTGAAATCATGAGCTCCATTAAAAATACAAATAAACAGCATCATTTGATCTGTATGTCTAATGAAGTACAGCGTTTCCACTTGGAAATGGGGTTGGTGGCCAGTGTTCATCAGACATTCACAGTTTAAAACAACAGGTTTTCTGGATTCAAATCATTGGAATTGAATAGAATAAATAATAATCTAATTTAAGATTGGACATTTCTTGATCACAAACTTGTCGAGGTCTGAAGTTAAAGGTCAGGGGTCAGGGGTCATCACTGGCCCTTCTTGGGCACGTCAGGGATGCTGTCATTCAGAGGGGTGAGGCCTGTGAGGACGGCGTGCCGCTCATACTGCTTGGTCTGCCTGAACTTAGTGTCGGTGCCGTGGAGCCGGTCCAGAATGCCGAAGACCCCGAAACACTGGTTGAACCTGGAACCAGGGAGGAACTAGATCAACTGAGGATGACTTTTTTTTTTAAATAGCAAAATGTAAAATTCTATATGTTTCTTGCTGTAAACAAATCTGGGTGGCATGTTCCTTTAAATCAGGGGTGTCCAAACTACGGCCCAGGGGACAACTGCGGCCCATTGTCCATTTTCAATTGACCCTGAGCAAATTCTAAAAGTATATTGGAATATGGCCCACACCTGAAACTTGTATTTTTCTTATATTGTACTTCTTAAATATATATGTAAAAATATATGACACAGTATTCATGTGTTAATAAGCCCACTTTTCAAATAAATTCAGTCAATTAAAGTTGAGAACATTTTCTAACAAATCCTAATTAATAAAAATAAAAAAGCCCAATAACTTATATTAAATAAATGAAACCCTATGAAATGCTGTGAACTAGGCTGTTTTCTTTTCTTAAAGCATATTCAAGTATCAAGCATATGTTTACCTACATTTGATTGATTTTGCTATCTTATAACTTAATTTATGAGGCACTATATCTCACCTCTAGTGAGGGGCCCAGCCTTTCGTATATTTGTATGTATGAGGCCCCAAGTGAAACAAGTTTGGACACCCCTGCTTTAAATCCATGATCTCACTCACACTGAAGATCATTTTGACTCAATCCTGCTGACGGTTGTTTAATATTTTATATGGATTTTCGCAAATTCAAATAAAGCTACTGGGCTCACCTGAGGTGGTGGAAGTCATGGAACTCGGGGGAGGGCAGGAAGGGGAGGTGGTATCCACAGTGGGAGATGGTGGTGCTGATCAGAGCCACGCTGTACCACATGGCGGTGGTGGTCACATGGGAGCCCAGGAGGACCGGCCCGAGAGCCACCGGCAACATGTTGGAGATCTGACAGAAGAGGAGGGACAAACTGCTTTTAATGGCCGAGGAATAACCAGCAAATATAGTGAAAACTTCTGAGAGAGGTAGAAAATGAACTGAAAGCGTGGAGGGAGGTATTCACCATGTGCTCCAGAGGGTGGGCGTAGATGCAGACGACTCCAATGGGGGCGGTCCACTCATGGTGCTGTTTGTGGAATCTCTTATAGAGGCTGGGATGGTGGAAAAGCCTGAGAGAAAGAAGATGAGGATATATGTGGTTACTTACTGAGACACTTAACTTAACAGAACGTAATGTTTACAGGAATACTGCAGTGGTGAAAGAAGGACTAAACTGGTTGGATAAAAGTAATAATAACAACACACAAAAATTCCTTTAGTCAAAAGTAAAAGTACAGAAGTATTAGCAAAATATAATAATTATTAATTTATAAATGAAAAACAAATTATGGCGAAAAAACTTCATAGTATAGTTTCTTGAACAAATGTCAAAACAATCATGCTATTGTATGTAAAAAGTCATACAATAGCATGTCAAAAAAAAGAAGTCATACTTTAGTGTCTACTCTTAAGACACACTTCTTCTCCCTGGCCTTCTAGTCAGAGCGGAGCACGACTCCTGACTTTTCCCTGTGTTTTTTATATATCTGTTGTAACTTATTGTCTTTTATTGTGATTGTACAGCACTTTGGCTCGACCAAAAATCGCTTTTAAATGTGCTTTATAAATAAAACTTGATTTGATTTGATTTGATTTGATTAGTAAGTTAAAAATATGTTGAAATAAAAGTAGCAATAACACAATGCAAAACTACTACACATACCAAGATATACTATTAATGTTGGAAATATGTCAGAAAAAGTAATACTATAGTTTGACAAAAAAAACATCATACTAGAATGTTAAAAAAATGTGTGTTATACTATGGTACATCAATAAAAGACATACTATAGTAGCAATAACACAATACAACTACTAAACATACAGGTCATGCAATAGTGTGTGGAAAATGTCTCATATTATAGTATATTGAAAATATGTCAAAACAATTATAATATAGTATAGTATGTTGAAAGAATTCATAACGGGAAAATATGTAAAAATAATGAAACTCTAATATGTAGCAACAAAGAAATAGTACTACATTATGTGAAAAAACGATGGTCTTCTTTCTGTTGACATCCTTCACATTTACAACTAGGTGGCAGTGATGTGTAAAGGTCAGTTTTTCAATGAAAACAGATAGTCCACCAAAAGGGCTTTTTTCAAAGGACACATTATGTCATGTCACAGTCATAAAAGCAAAGGTGTAAATAAAATAATTAAGGATCCAAACCTGTGGGAATAGTAAAACATAAATTCCTCCAGGAGGGAGAAGAAGGCCAGCTCTGCGAGGGCCCAGTGGAAGGCGGGCAGCTCGGGGCCACAGGGGTTTCCGCTCATGGTCATCAGGGATCGAGCCACCACCACCATGGACCCCGAGATGAACACATAGTTGAAGAGGACGGTCTTCAACAGATGGCGAAGCTTATCTGGATCCACCTGGAAGGCCAGGAGGGAATCACAGGGTAAACACTAAGTATAAATGTATTTTTAATGACAAATATATTTCATTTTCATGACATTACATTACCTACATTGAAATGCCTGGAGTATATTTGGTCATTATTCATAGGTTGTTGCTGATTTTTTTTCCCCATATGAAGTTTGCTCATAAGGTTAACAAAATGTTTATAACAAAGACATGCAAGTTTAGAGGTCAGCATTGATAGTGTAGTTTAAGTTATCAGCTTCACTAAATCGAAGACAGAAGATATCTCCAGTTTGTGTGTAACAGTCAACTTTGGACCCTGTGTGTTATAAACATATGGACATATCACGATGGCCCTTTGTGTGTGTCTGTGAACTGTTGCCCAGTTGCAGTATAATTCTGTGATATGATGTGTTTACCAAAGTACAAACACAACAACCTACATATAAGCCTTTTTAAACAGACAGTTTTACAGTGAGATTAATTTAGTGTTTGGTTGGTTTTATTAAAGTTTCCATTGGAAGATTGACCAGGGGCTTCAATTTAAGCTATATGGATAGATTGCTTGATAAAAGATAAATTGATGCTACAAAACAGCGCAGGTCTTTATTTATGACAACTAGGGCTCAGGTTAGGAGGTTACAATCAGTCACGTCTCTTTGACTCAGAGTAACGGGCCTTGGAAAGCTCACAGGACACAAAAAAGGACTTTTGCAACTTCATAACAAAGTTTCTAACACAATGCTATGCTACAAAATATATGTAATCCTATAAGTGCCCCACACATATTATGCATATTCAAATTGGGATAACACACTTAATCTTTGGAAGTATATCATTAAAGCAAGATGGATGAATGATGGATTTCGGCCAACCTACAATTAACTGATAGACGTTTGAGCTTCCTTTGCAATGTGTTCCTGCTTATTATCCTTAAAGGTTAGGATCAATCTGATTACACTTTGATTAACAGACGTTCAGGGACACTGGGGAGATAAAAGCTGACATTACTGATAATGCAATGTGACTCTCAAACACTGAGAGGACTTTGGTCAAATGACCAGGTGAACACGTCTCATCAGAGCACTCAGGATGTTCATACACATGCACGCAATACATATCATATTATAAGTGTCCAAAAGGAGCACAGGAAATAATACTTTGCAAAAGTTGAAACATTTATAAATTAAATTAGATAAAATTCAATATAAAAATATAAATAAATAGGAAAATACATGTATAAATGAATTGATAAATACAGAATATTATAATAATCATTAATTTTTAAATTACATTTTCTTCATTATTAATTAATTTTTTTGTATTTATTTTTCAAATTGACACAAATAATATAATAATTAGTTATGCCATTTTATTCATTTACTCCCTGTTATTTTCATGTATTGTGATAATTATTGTGATGCGAACAAATGATTAAGGAAATCTCTATGATTTGTTGTAATAGGAGACATGTTTCAATAGATGAATTCATCCTTACAATAATGCTTGGTTTAACCTGGCGTTTTAGGGGTAAATAAAGATAAGGAGAATGAGATTAGATTGATTTATTATCTGTAAACACACGAAATGCCATAAAATAATCCGTCTTCTGATTCAAAGGTTAAAAAGGGTTAGATAATACATCTAAATTAGAGGCCGTTCATGCAGTATCAGTTTTGGTAGAAGGAGGAGAGAGTGAGTGGAAGTTTGTATCTCAGTGATAATCAAATGCCTAGTTCAAAATAGTGGTGGTGCTGGTGGTGCTGTTTTGGTATTTAAAGTGAAACTGGAAGAGATTCAGTGCAGAACATACCGGGTTATTCTTGTCCGGCTGGATTCGGTAGCGGGTGATGAAGGAGGGTTTCCCGGTGGTGTCCACCAGCAGCAACAGACAGTTCGTCCCCCAAAACGTCAGAGTGGGGACCAACATCGTGCCTGTGGAGAAACTACCGTCAGAGAGGGACAACTAACCTGCCTTTGACCTGGACCTCAATATTTAAACATTAATAAAGGATGAAAACGTATTTTTTTGAAAAGAAACAACAATTTTCATGATCAATTCTGCATTGTCTGGCCTTGTTATTTCTGAGCTCACTAGAAAATGGATTTTGCCTTTGAGAAATCTAAGATAATTAACATAATCACAGAAATAAACTGGTTGTACTTTGAGTTATGCTTTATCTTAAGACCGATTACATAATTACTTTGGAGAAAGCGCCTTACATGTTTCACTGGAAGCAATATTTGCCCTATCTGTTAATGCATTTGTGACTGTCAGCACGTAACGTCCTACATTAGATTTTGTGTGCAAACAGCTAGACAGTTGACATAACACAAACAACAACATGATGGCTACATCATAAAAGAGAGTAACTGGACACCAGAGGTCATTCTTTGATATGCAGAGCTAAACAAATGTTTGCAAAGCTAAACAAATGTGTTTTTTCCCTCTGGGGCTGGTACTCTTTTGTGCAGGATCACAATTCCCAGTTTGGTGTTAAATCATTTGTAAAATCTCATTTAAAACTACATTTATTATAAGTACTGTGAAAAAACCTAAAATACAAAGCATGTTTTGATCAAAGCAAGTCACTCATTCTGTTAACATGTAGGAAACAGATCAGTGTGTTCGATTTGACCTCAAAAAGACCTCTCTGATATGAACTGTCCGTAACAGTGTGTTGGCTGCAAAGTGCACTTTCTACAGAACACGTTTTTGGAAAATAAAAAATAAATGGTGTTGTTAGTTCTTACCCAAGTAGAACAAAGCAGTCTCATGACCCTCAAAGCCCACGTACACCTTGGTCCACATGTTCTGCCAAAAATCTCCTGAAGCACCCCAGAATCTCTGAAGATGCCTGGGAAAGGAAATCTTGTCAAATATCACATAACAATGAAACTCAGAGGACTATAGAAACTCCCCTTTAATTCCAGTCACATCATGCCCTCTCTTGAAAACCTTTTTTCTCCTCCTGAATCAACAATACAAATGTTTTAGCCAATTGGTTTTCAGTCTTCCAAGTAATTTAATATTTGTAAATTAAAGAATTCAAATTATTTTATAATGTGGTCATTGGTATGTACCAGTCAAGTTACTTTCATTTGTAGTTCAATTGTAAATATTCTCCTTAAGTTAATTTAATGACAAGAACACTAACCTTTTTATAAATATCCTATACACAAATTGTGTTTCACTTAAACCTAAATCATTAATAAAGAAATTACACTCAATTTCAAGGTCAATTGTTCTTTTCTCCTCAAGTTAATACAGGATAAGATATTGGTTTGTATTATTGTAACACTGTAACTTGTAATAAAATCCTACCATGTCAGTGAGTTGCCGAATGCAGCCAAGAATAAGATTCCAGATCCGATGATCACAGCAGCTTTCTTCACAGAGTCCCACAGTCCTCCAGGGCCCTCCTGGGTGGAGAAAAGGCAACAATGATGCATCCATGAGCCTCTCTGTTACTCTGATGATACTGTGCAGTCTCATGATGAGGAGCTACATCAGCGTTTCCCACAGAGACATCACAGGGTGCAGAAAAGAGTCTAAAACTACATGAGGATGGCAGCACTGTATCTAGTTGTAGGCGAGGAATTTCACACCATGGGACTGCATGGATATAATGAACCATTAGAAACAAGTGAGATTGAAGGGCAAAATAACATCAGGCAGCAGGAGAGAAACATCAATGTGCTTTAAAATGATGATAGTTATCTTGAGCATACTATATTACATTATTGTTTTTTGGACTTGATAGGAAAGATTCCAAGTTGTTTTTGCATTGATCCACTTGAACATATTCACATCACATGTCTGTTCCATGAATAATGTTTGACTATAAATATGAATGTAAAGGAAATTGTTTATATGAAGTTAAATAAAGCAGAGGCATATTCCAAAAGCTATATATTTGTGTATGTTAAAAGCATCAAACCTTTTAAAAGCCACATTTTCTCTATTGTAATTGCAATAATCCATATATGAAATGTGAATGAGTTGTGTTGACAGTGATGACCAGACAGTAAATGAATCTGAGATTAAGGTTTTCAATAAACACTTTTGAATTATTTGAGTGTGACCTAAACAGATTTAAAAGGATGTTGTCCCTTTGGCAACATTTGAACTTAATTTTCAGCTACAGAGAATCCAAGTATTTATTTTATCTTTAATACTTAATGTCAGTTGTAGAGTGCTTTTAATAAAAGCAAAAGCAACATCTAATCCAGCCAGAGTGAGAGAAAACAGGATCAGTCCACTCAGTGGGTATAAATCCAGGGATTGATGTCACATTCAAAGACCTTTAAAAAAAAAACCCCGGCAGCTTTTACCCCGGCTGCCTTTTGCACAGCCATGGCAACAGTGGGAACGATGTTACTGACAGAACTGTCCGCTGATACTAATGCATACTTAATCCTTGTAAGGACAATTTATCAATTACATTTGTAGGCGTGTGGCGCAGTGGGTAGAGCGTTGGTGTTCGGATCAAGGGGGCACAGGTTCAAACCCCTCTGCAGTCAGCATGTCGTTGTGTCCCTGGGCAAGACACTTCACCCCAAATTGCTCCTGTGGGGATTGCCCACAGTATTGAGTATGTAAGTCGCTTTGGATAAAAGCGACTAACAAGTAACATGTAAGAAATGTAATCAGCAAGAATGTACAAACGCACACCCAATCATATCATTATTTCTAAATATAGTGCACACTCCCATTCTACAGGAGGAGATTGAACTCTCATTAACCTTGCTCATGGTAATATGTATTATACATTATCCTCTGTCACATTCAGGGCTCAATAAACTGGCACGTGAGAGTAAAAAATGCAACTTGTCAGGTCAAGCCTGTCCCAGAGAACAACCAGGCAAACAGAAAGAAGTGGCAGAGCTCCGGTCGGAAAACAAAACAGGCATGTGGAAGCATTATGTAAGACGTGTTTTAAATACAAAACCCATGTTGAATACAAATCACGTGTCACAAAGAGAGGAAGAAAGGCAATATTAAAAAGGCTAAAAAGGTTTAGTTTAAATTCAGATTGGGTTTTTTGAGTCTTAGAGGAGGCTGAGAATTACAGTAGGTAAAAACTTGCGTAAATATATATCAGTAGTAAAAAAATTCTGGGTGTAAAAACTGAAATATTTGTTCTGATATAATATCAACCCATATGAGTAGCAGACAGAAATACAGTGCTTCTATATCTTTATGTGACATTATCTGAAATAAGCTTTTTGGCCAACCCTAATAACATCAGTGTTGACTTTAACACGAACTGTCTCAGAGAAAACATGGTGAAAAAGAAGCATGCAGGTTTTCTGAAAACATGTCGTATAATAGTTACATTTCAACATTTTCCAGCACAAATCATACAATAATTCTGTCGTTTGATCTTGTAAGCCTCTTATGCAGAAAAAGGAATGTCCAGGCACTGAAACAAATGACTTGAGTTTGTAGCTCACAGGTTTTTTAAACTATAAACCGGTTGTCAGAATCAGAAACAGGTTTATTAACAGGTAGGTTTACACGTACGAGGAATTTGACTTATGTAACATTAACTTCTCAATGACTGTTTTTTTCATGAGATGCCACCGAGATTAAAGGGTTGTAGAAGGGTTGAGCAGCAGGTGAATGATGGTATTATGACAGAAGAGTTTTACAGGTTTGTTCTTACCTGTCGGCTGCTGCGTGTCGGGGCAGCTCCCCTCGTGTCTGTAAACACAATAACAAATACAGGGTTTGTCTTTTCAGGAAGGATTAATACAGATTCTTAATTTAAGCATATAATTAAGGAGGTAAACAATCTTTCGTCACCAATAAATAATACAATTGACTTCCAGCAATACAAGTTTAATCAGCTCAAAATGATAGACTACGTAAATGGATGGTTTTGGAGGAAATTGAGACATTTGGCCAAAGATAAAATAATTAATATATTGCTGATAATTTTTTTTAATGAAGATGGCCTCATCCTAGTTTGATTGGATAACAAGGGTGTTTCAAACAATTTTTTTTACTTTATGATTAAAGTCAAGTTTTTGTTTTTCCAAAGAACTAAAAAACTGTGGTTTTTCTTCAACAGTGTTACACAGCTAACAGTGTTTTTTATTTGACTTATTTATTGTGTGATAATCAATTCACATGCAATATAGTGCATGAATAAACCTCCAGTGTTGGCCTCATATGATGAACCTTCACTGATTTTCACCACACATATTTGAGGCATTAAAACAGTCAAAGATCTGTCTGATTTTCAACTTTCCATGCTGCAACAATCATCCGAGTGCTGTGCAGCCTGGGGTAAAAGTTAAAACTGGAGGCTTACATAATCCAATTATAATCCATCGTTCTTACAGTTAGCACTTTTTCCAGGCACATTCTTGGGGATAACAACCTGCCCTACATCCACTATCCCTCTGTTTGTTGTTGAACAAAATAAACACTACGTTTATGTTAAAAAAAGAAAAACAGAAATCATATAGATTTCAAGGCAAGTGTAACACACCAAGTATATTGAAGTCTTCTTGCAATCAAAATGTGGTTTGTCTATTGTTATGTTACTTTGATGTTTGAGTTTCACAGTGCAAAATTATGTTCGTGCAGATGACAATAGAGGAAGAAAAAGTAGTGACTAAAAATTATAATGATTTTGTTTTTAAATATTTAGACAATCTTCGAGCTGTAGCTTCAGAAATGCAAAGAATATTATATCCGTTTTCAATTGACTGAAAAAAACCAGTGCTTTATAATGTAGCCTATTATCATTGGCTGCTCATAAGACTAAATTACATTTAGATTTTTACAAAGATAGATAGTCAAAATAGGAAAACAATTTTGCCAAAAGTAATATTTAAGAATACCATAGCCTAGAAAAATCCTAGAGAGTTACTATGCTATTGAAATTAAACATAGCGTTGAGCTGCGAACATGCAGTATATGAACTGCGCTGTCCCTCATTGGAAACATCACCTGCTGCCTATACTAAGACTGATTAGGTTTTGGATCATTATTGCAGTTAAGCAGCCACCTGTTAACCAACGTAACGTTACGTTTTAAACGTAACAAAAAGAGACTCCCGGACAAGTTAAAAGCCATGTCAAGTATATAACCTACTCACCACTTGTTTCCACCGTCATGTCTCCTCGCTCTCTCTGTTGGCTCTTTACACATTCTCAAAACAACCGTGTATTTACAACGGCGGACGAATTCTGATTGGTCGGTTCTTGGTCAGCTGACTTGAGCCTCACCCGGAAGTAGCGGCAGGTATGTTTTGACCCTGATATGAGGAAGGGAAGGGATGTCCACCTGTAACAGGTGAAGGTTTAAACTCAGCGCGGAGGCTTGTGTTACATAGTATTCCTTGGGGGGAAAGTACATTTGAGTAGAAAAGACTATGTTGCAATTATTATTAGACTGATAATATCAAGTCAGTGCTAATTCTGAGAAAAGAAACACATTCGTGAATGATAATAATTAGGCTAAGTAGTAGGCTACTTTTATCATTATCTATCATTAAAATATCTCACCTAGAGCTGGAACATTTAGTTTATTAACTATGTAAATTACCAAAACAAAATCTTAATCAGCAGCTGACTGATTCTATAATTTAGGGTGCATTTCACATCAACATAACAGTACAAAGAAAGTGTTCTTTCTCAATAGAACAATCAGTGGTTCAAGTTAATATATTCCTCAGTGTAACATATCCACTAGTTGCAAAGCTTAAACATTTTTTTATTTTATTTTATTTTAAGGGAAAGGATGTTTTCACTACTCAGTTTGTCAACTATGTTACGGACAAACTTGATGTCATTACAATCATTTGATTAAGTCCTGCACTTCAAGTAAAATCAAATTTGAAAGGCTCTTGAGTCTATTCTACCATATATCCAAAGATTTTTTAAAGTTTAAAAAATAATTGTATTAAAGTTTTGTTTTTTCATGTGATATGTTCAGCACTGTCATTAAGTTTAGGGATATTTTGTATTATAAAACTACCATACAGGCCATTTTGATAGTTTTAAGAGATGTCATGTAAAACTCCAACCTGTGTAGATATACATTATACTATAAAGGATATCAGAAGCACTATTTTAGATATTTTAAATTTGAAAAAATGAGGTGCAACATAGTTGACAATGAAAGTCAAACATTTGACGCAAATAATATAGTTGACTGGACACATTATTAACCATCAGCACTATGTTCATTTCAAGGCAGAAGTGCAAAATTCCATTGATAATGATGTGTAATGACGTCTACATGTCATACAAATTGTCAACTAGGTTACCTGTCAACTAAGTTACTACAGTTATTACAGTACTGGGTAACTTAGTTGACAGGTAACCTAGTTGACAATTTCCCTATTTTGACCCATCATTTCAATGGTAGGCCTTGCCTGGATGACCACATGTCATTTTCTTGAACAGGTTAACATCACATTTGAACATATAATTGAATTAAAATCATTAAACAATTGTAAACCATAACAATGTACGTAACATTGTTGATGGTCAATTAATATACTCATTGACAATGTGCTATTATACATAACATATTGTAAAAAGTTAGAGGACAATCACCACAGTGTGTTCAAAATGTCTGCCAAAGAGGAACATGTCCTCCATGATGCTGGTGACATGGTATTGGGACAAACCATTTTTGAGTTAAAGGGGGGAGCTCTGTTAGTAACATAGTTGACAGAACTTTTGCGGACATTCATATATTAAGATATTTAAATTATTTAAAGGAGGAAATCAATTAAAAATATGTTATTATTCTTTAGTATTTAGACTTTTGAAATAAATGAATACTTTTTTTAATTTACTTTAATGGTTTTTATTCATTATTTTGAAACCAAGACACCCTCAACTGAAAAACGGACATAGCAAAAACTGACAATTTAAGAACATCATGACACATTTCAAGCTAAATAAAGCATAGGATGCACATAATGTTTGTGTGATATTATAACATGCTTTCCAATAATAGGCAAAATATGATATTTTTGAAGAAAATAGTTAGAGTAATTATAGTTATCATCAATGGACATCAATGGACATGGAATGTACCCTAAATTGTAGAATCACTCAGCTATTTCTATTTTCAGTGTCTGATTTAAGTCATTTTTCAAGCAAAAGCCCCAAAGGACGATTTTCTAATATTCATAACTTTTTAATCAACTGAAGAGATTTATATTTTGCAGAGTTGATTGGCTAAATAAGCAACTATAAATACACTATTAATAAACTAATTAATTATTTATGTTAATAATCCTTGTAGTTCCAGTAATCCAAAATTTGATTCACAGTTAGCAATAAGCTTGACTCGGACAAGATATGTCTCAGGATAGTTTGTTTGACTCTTTATTTAAAAACAAAAGCTATCAATTACAAACACATATTTTCACAGGTCAAAAAACTATGTTGCTCTGTGCTTCTTTCTCCTCCTCCTTTGAATAAACCACAAATTGCAAATGAATTGCTGAAAGCAAAAGCAAAAGTTTTTCTATATTTATTTTATCATCTCTATGCTCTTTGTACATTAAGTGGACTGACCAATGACATCTGTACCTCCCCAGTGCAGTTCCTACTTCAGGACATGTACTCCAATGTGCTATACACAAATATGTATAAACTCTTCATGACCTCTGCAGCTTTACACAACTAGAATATTGATGACTATAGGCTGCACACACAAACACACACTCTCATCAATGACAGCTATCGCTTAACAATCCCTCACCAGATAACCTCTAGGCCTGTCAGAAACATGTGGCACCACTATCACCCATTATTACCCTACAGGGGATCCGTCCACTGTAACCGTTATGCAAAATGAATGTGACTTTGAACACTGTATTGATCCTGACAGTAAATTAATGTGAAGAGAAAATTGAATTATGTTGTACTTCAATCAGGCCTTTTCTTGTCCTTGCTAGAATATATGGGTCATTCCAGAATTGGAGGACATTATGTCCCACATATACAAAATCAAATAATCCATGCCCAAAAAGCTAAAAAATGCATGTTGTGTTAAATATACTTATCTTGAGACAAGATGCATATAAAGTTGTAGAAAAAGTGGTTTCAAAATATTATTTAAAATATCAAACTCAAACATCCCCTAAAATGGCCTTTTTCTCTTGTCCCTGCTTCTTGGTGACCAACTTGCATGTCAAATATAACATTTAAATAGGGTTTTTATTTACTTTTGTTGGTATTATTCTATTGATATATGTCTCTTGTAATGGTAAAATCAATTAGTACACATTTTAAATAACAGTCATTTTACACTGAAGGTGTGTCCCTCAACATGCGCGCAACCCTGTTACCCAAACCTTTTTAGCTTGGCAGAGGAAGTGAAAAAACTGTTTGTCACATGACACAGTGGAAAGGACATCAGCAAGCCATGTGCTACTACCATGGGTAGACCCTGGTTGCGGTCCAAGGCTGAAGTTGAATAGTCCATTTAGCTTAGGAACCTTCCTAACGGAGTGAAATGACCCGGAAGTCCCTCAGTGGCAGCCATGATAAGTGCCGTTCGAATTCTCTAGATGATAGGAAAGGAGGTTTCAAACTTCCTTTATAACCTCCTTTAGCTTAGGAACAACTGGACCTCCCTCACCGAAAGGAGAGGAGAAAATGCTGCCCCACAATGCCTTGCAGCCGCAGCATTTGCCGTCACACAACAGTCGGCCGTTCACGGAAACAACCGATTATGACCGAGAAATGATATCATGAAAGTTACGGTGCTTATTAAGCATTTTAAAACGTATGTGGTAACTTGCCGAAGTGCTTTGTTTTGAACGTTCATCAGTATTATAATCAAAAAGAGAAATATGAACGTTAGTTTTGACTGAAATGATCAAATAAAGTCAACATTTCACAGTCTTTACTGAGCTGTGTGGGGGTTGTTCAACTTTTAAAAGATGTTTGAATGGTGATATACACAGTGATAGATGTTAAGGACTAATGTTTATAATAAATACATTTGTATTGATTTTAAGATCTTTTCATAGTTCATACAATCATACGTATTGGGATCATTTGTATTAATGTGGACCGGAGGGAGAGGGTGACGAAGTTTCACTTTCCTTTTTTATTTCAATTCCAACTTTGGTCATGAAGAATATGTTTCTCTGTTGTCCTCCACGTTCATAAAGCATAAAACAACAGCATCAGAGCACGGTGCAGAGTCTCTAGATGAGTTTACAGTAGTCCGTCGTTCTTATTATACATCCATGTTGTAGTCCGCTGTATAGAAAACTGTAGTTTCCATAGTTTCCCCACAGCAGCAGACGCACATTTATGACGTCCGCTGGCGCATCATAAACACGTCGGATAGTGAAAGTGCAGTTGGATTCTCTCAAGTACCGCAGTCTCTTCTCCTAAGTCCTTTTGAATTCTCCTATCCACTATCTCTTAACCCCGTGACATTTCACACAGAGGTCAAGGGAATCCGAATGCACTTTCACTATCTGGCCGTTTCTCAATCGCGAGGATGCTGGCTTGGTAGTCGCGTACTTCCAAGTCACTTCCTTCAGAAACGAAGCAAGTATGCTTCCAAGCCACGGCTTCGGAAAACGAAGAAGAATGGAACAGGCTAACAAGTGTGCCAGGTGTGCGTCATATGAGAGGCCCCGCCTTACATTTTCCGCCACTGATTTGGGGAAATTGGTCCGTGCGCAAAGCATTGTGGGGATTTTATGGACGCGAAGTCTACCCATGTGCAGCCTCGAAATTTCCCCCAAACCAAGGACGCGGCCTCGGTGGAATTCCAAGTATGCTGGACATTGGAACGGTCCTGCTGCGCCACTTGATGACGTAGCATCCTTGAAATATTGGCTTGGAAGCCAATATCCTCGCGATTGAGAAACGGCCTCTGTTGCGACCTGGCTCAAAAGGCCACAACAAAAAGGAGACACAACATGTCAACGGGTAGAAAAAGGTGTTTATTTGCATAAACAATTCAAATCAAGTAATGTGTTTACTCCTCAGAGCCGGGTGCCTGCAGGAGAAGACAGAGCGAGAACAGAGAGGAGCAGAGAGGCTTTAAATAGCTGCAGGACACCAGACCCCGGTGCCCTGAGTTACTGCAATCAATGCAATCACTGGAGCCAATGCAGCACAGACAGAACAGCCACACCCTCTCTACTGATGAACCCACAGGGGCATCACACTATCCGAC